ATGATTATAACAAATTCCTCTAAGATTATTTGATAACCAAACAGGACACATTTTATGTCTTATAGCCCTGTCAATTATCACGTGACAAAATCGCCACTCAGAACACAAAGTTATATGAACTTGTCCCTGTGATAAACCAATTATGCATTAACCAGCACGAGCAACCTCGAGTCATGTCTGAGTCCTTATCGATGCCCTGTATGGTAAATTTTTGCCTAATCCAGCCCGTTCAGTCGAGGACATAAATAACAGCATTCTCAGTATGAACCGTAAATTTCAGACACACGCGGTTCATATATAAACAAACCAGACCGCTTCACACCGTAAAATAAAAAAGAACCCAGTAAATTATACAAGATGGAGCCCAAAGTGGCTTTGGGTTTGGGATACTGTAACTAATAAATTGGACATAGGTTAAGAATGGTAAGTCGTATAACAGTAACCAATTGGTTAAATGAAAGCTTATGATAAAAGGAATATGAATATACATACAATCTAATTACTCAAAAGTTGTCCAACAGGAATATATGTAATAACAGTTCATACATAATTCCTAGAAGTTACCATTCGTTTATTCTTTGTTCGGATATAACAACATTCATATTATTTTTTTATTATACGTTAATTTCCGGACGCGCGTTTCGTCCTGTTTAGGACTCATCAGCTGGATGTACTTGCATCTCAGAGTTGATGTTCACTCTGGACTCGAACTCAGTACCGTTCGTTTCAAACGCCATCGCGTTATCCACTTAGCTACTGAGTCCTGATAGCCACTTGCTTGTGCAATGGGGTGAAGTTTAATTCACTTAGTATTGTTTTACTTGAATCTTCCCATTGATGTTTTAGGACTGAAAATCAACTCTGAGATGCAGGTACATCCAGCTCACCAGTCTCAAACAGGACGAAACGTGCGTCCTGGATTCCACTGCTAGCCACTATCCATCTTTGTTTATAATGCTTGTAAATTAAGGCAATACCGAGGCATACGCACAGTATGCACATATGCCAATAAGAGACTGATCAATTTCAGTCCTAAAACATCAATGGGAAGATTCAAGTAAAACAATACTAAGTGATTTAAGTGTAGAACTCTTTTATTATTAAATGCCACAAACAAAGTACGGGATAATGACATGTCAAAAGCTCTTATAAACGTAACGTGAAATACAGTACACTGGAAGTGTTTTATCCATCAGTTTAATAACCACACCGATAACCAGTAATAGAGGATAGTGAATGCAGTTTTTAAGGGATCTGTTAGCACTTTACCGAATGAGTTATTTCTTATGTGCCAACTTAGTCATTATGTCACAAGCTACTGACAGTGTATATCCAGATTAAAAGCATCTAAATTTTTAAGATATAAACTACCTACTTGCAAGTAGTGTAACAAGATCTCAGAATATAATTGATGTCATCATTTTCTATCTGCCACGGCTGTCGTCATACTCTAGGAAATATTTTATTTGAGAAGGCAACAGAATCAGAATAGTAGTTCTTTTTTTTTGGGGGGGGGGAGGATAGATCTTAATGCTGCTTCAGACTTATCTAATATTATCTAAGGGATGCTGTCATGATACATCAGGTTTGGTGACAATTATGCTATTACTCAGCTACTGAGTTGTAATACAAAGGTAAGTCTTCACAATCTTAATCACTTCACAATTTAACATATACATCATATTCTTTAATCCGTCGGTATTCATAGACGTCCTGAGCTTGCTTAACACATCAATTGAAGTTTTCATTTAGAACGTTGGGATATTAATCTAAATACGGGATGATCAGTGGACTATGTATTTCAAGGGGAAACTAAAATCCAAGTTATATTTTACAGTTTAGTCTCATTTTTAGTGGTTTTGCTTTAAGTAACGAAAAATTCCAATGGCTTATTTGTTCATATAGTATCACAGACTGTGTAAATGAAACCAAGCACAAACCGGTTACGCTTAGTGGCCAAATGATAGGTCTGATGCTAACTGAGAGAAGAACGGACTTCCAAATATGTGTTGTCCACAAAAGTTGATCAGTTTATTCAAGTTTCGAGCACTGCTTAGTAACGGATATTTCTAGAATTGACAAGGCATGGAGTAAAAATCTCCATAGTCACCACAAGAGGAGACGAACATGGATTACATCCCTACGTATGAACCCAATACAATATGTCAAAACTCTAACGGACAATCTGAAGGAGAACTTCAGTATCAAACAAAATGAACCAACCATACTGAACACTGCACCTGCAATTTCCAAAAAATCTAGGATCACATCAGCTCAACATATTTGGCTAGGTATACTAACTTACCATTGTAAAGAAGAAATCAGAGAAAAACAGAAACTAATAAAAAAGTGACTCAACGAGCCAACAGAGCTAAATCAAAGCAACTACATCAGAAGCGAAACAACATAAAGAATGCTACATTCAGATAGGACTAGCTAACATTGACCAGCTCTTCGCACAAAATGAACAACATCAAGCGAATAAACGGCTAAACCTTATATTAAAGATAATGAACAACCAAAGTTTGTACAAAACAAAACCAATTGCACAAGTAAGTAACCAAATACTGAAAGACCACTATCAAGACCTATTCAGCCAAAAATCCATAGTACAAATGATCATTAAACACTTAGAACCAAACCAAAAAAACAGCACAAGTAGCCTAAATGAGCTAGAGCAAACCGTGGAATGACTGAAAAATAATAATGCTCCTGGAGACAATAACATCACAACCGAAGTGATAATATATGGAGAACGCAAACTGAAAACATTCTTTTAGGAATGGTAAACGAATTATGGAGTAAAACAGATAAAATGCCACGCCACTAGATTGATGTGGACGTTATCAGAACCTACAAACATAAAAGTACAAAAATAGACCCAGACAATCACTGAAGCATATGCACCTGATGATGCAATTAACCTAAACGTCACTAAAGCTTGTCACGCAATAATCAAAATTTGACCACTATTGAGATCAAATAGTATCGATCTACCAACCAGAAAGAAGCTAACAGAATCTACCACAATTTCCACCTTAATCTACAGTCCAGAGACAATATTAATAATAAAAAAAGACGTGATGACACTAGAAGTTGTCGTCAATTCAACAAGACCAGTGATTCTTAGGATAAACAACCTAAAGAATCTCACAATGGAGGACTAAAAGATAAAACTAGTAACTCAAACATTCTCATCAAAGCCCAGCAAAACCGACGAAACACCTGGTAAACTGCTCACAAAAGATCAAACAACTTGACGATCAATATTGTCGAAAAGATCATAGGAGATAAAATCACTTCACGAAAAGCCCACACAAAATGTTAGCTAAGACAGCTAAGGCTGGACTTTGAAGTATTCAAAGACCAATCACCACCGAATTGTGCAGAACACCCGACTAAGATTAAACTAAATAATGGAGGAGAGTACAAGCAGAAAATAATTGACTAACGAACGCAAATATACGTATGGACAAACATAAAGTTCAGTCGAATATTCGTAGCAAAAAAGAGATGAACAGACACTTAAGAAATGATCATCTTACAACTCAGGATTCCTCAGAAACAGAAGGACACAAGTTCTTGATAGCAGACTACTCAAAGTCATACATAACAATTGAATGGCTACATAGACACATTAGATCCTGCCACCTACAACATAACCAACCAATAAAAACGAACATAGAAACCCAGAAGTTCTCTGAACTAACAACCTCAGTGCTAATAGCTACAACAGACATGAAGTCAACACAGCTGGAAGGACAAAGAACCAACAATCTACATAAATCCTATTCACAGGTTGTACAAAAACTTTACCGATAAAGAAGGTATGACAAACCGTTGTTATGTGATACAAAAATGGTTGGCAACAACTGGACAAAAGTAAGACCAAGAAAAACTGAAACAGCTGTTGCATCCCGATAGTTGTGCTGTGTTTCATGGCGTATTTTATCTTAGTTAAACAAAAGAAAAGAGAGAATAATCTAGAGAAACGCGTTGATGTTCATTTACATGAGCAAACCATACATAAGTACAGAAATAAAGAGTACCCGGATTTGCAGATATTTCGTATTGTAAGTTGGCACCACCTTAAAAAGTACTAAGACCAAGGTGTACAAAGCAACTATTCCATTGGAATTATAGTGATTTCAGAAATATACATCCTCATTTCCCAGTTTATCCACGAAATAATTGTTATCTGAATACAATATCAACAATAACTGTTTATGGTCAGTATTTATTTGGTTGACTTGACTGTGTAATTAGTAGCTACGTGACAATGAATTCAGAAACGAAAACTTTGAAGAACTAGCTCTATAGTAAAAAAGCTTCTTCTCCTTGATTGTTACTAATTATCAGATACTTATAATCTTGCTAATACGTACAATCAAAATAGTTTTTTTTAATAATTAACTTGAAAGGAAAACGTGTATAAGGACAATTGTGAAATTTGGTATAACCAGATCGGCCATAATGAATGAATCGTATTATAGAACAAAGTTTTTAAAGACAATTTAATAATCTACATTGTTTCACTACATGTTTGGCATTGTATAAAGTTTAAAACAATTTCTAAAGCTTTTGTTCTTATTTACTTCTGCTATTATTATTATTATCTTAAATATGGTTATAATTTGCAAACAAAACATCATTATGTACTATTAAGAAAACAAATAAATGCAACTGTCCATAACTATTTAGTTAACATTCAGCCTCTTCGTTCTCATTTTTCGTGGCCCAATTCTGTTTTTATCTTTTTAAATACCTATTGTACGCTTTGTTATCCATTAACCTAATGAGAACTAAAAGCCAGTGCTGGGCTAGAAATAACTGATGAATATATGTAACATAAAACTTAACGATGTTTACCGTAGTTTTCATATATATTATTCTACTGTTGCTATGGGAATTAGGGAGAACATGTAGAATAAAAACGGCGTATATATATATTCCCATGGTTTAAGATGAGGCTCATTCAATACCTAAAGATTTATTTGGATATGAATATTTCGAGGGGAATTAACACAGCATTATGGTTATATTGTATAATTGCAAGTTTTAAATATGTATTATTTAATTGTATTATGGTAGACATACTTATAATATAAGAAAAAGATCTAATATCTTAGGAAGGGATGCAAAAAGGATTTCATTTGGGCAATAAAAATATAGACTATCAACAGTAAATTACAAAATCGTATTAATCATTATGATCTAGAGCTTTATTAAAATGCCTAATCATGGATGTCATCCATTGGAACATTCCTCTACTATTATTTGTCATTTGTAGAAAAAAAACTTTTAAAATTTACTACCTATGCTCTTATAATATATTACTTTGCACTTTCCCGCAGTTTGAAATAGCCAATAGGAAATCCACTTCGCTTTTTGTACAGTAAATCTTATTAGGTCAAAATCACATTTGATAAGAGCAGTTGATTTGAAACTTACTAATACGATGAATACATCATTAATAAAAATGCAACTAACTTAAATTACTGAAACACTAAAATTATGCGCACCATTATGTAGAATGGTACAATATATACTAACGTTCAGGATAATTTAAGTCATAGAGTACAATCACATAAAAGATAATTCAAAAAGTTTTGCGAAGTAAACGTTTTGTTCCAGTTCAAAACTACTCTGTTCTATATATCCTCGGGCTGATATCACTTTAAATGTGACTGTCAGGTTTCAGAGCAAGTACACCATCTGCCAAGCAATTATTATCTATTAAAGTGTTTATGTTCCTCTTAATAAATCCGGTTGGTGATAGAAACTATCATTAATCCACCTATTTACACGGAAGCCACTTCTTCAAATTCAACAAAATGTTTGTATTTAATATGCTCTTTTACAATCTAAACTAGTGCCTACCTTACAGGGAAGAAATATAGTGTAGATTAGTCGTTTGCCGTTTACTGGTTGACAAATATTTTATTTAATGTATCATAACTACAAAGCTGAAAGTTTTTGAAACATAGTCGATTGTCACAAATTATTCTGCTTGAAAAATAACCAAATATTTTTTAAATTTTCCCTTCTTAAATTTCGATCATAGACAATTTTGAGTAGAAATTGGATATCTGAGACAGGTAAGAAATTATCTAATGTAAATATCTGAAAACTGTTGATAATTAGAATGTGCTATACCAGATCCTGTTTATTATTTGGAACGTCAGGAAACTCGATATTTTGATTTTTCTCCGGGATTTTACGATTCTGAAACAGTAAGTTTAGATAATAGACTAGTAGGTTTTTTTCCAGCTGACTAATGTCTGATGAGAATTGTTAGTCTTTATTCATTACTCTTTAAATTGGTCAATATTATTCTGAACTTCATTAAGTATGAGATACTTTATCTGATGAGGTTATGGTTACAAATCTAACTTGCTTGTAGATGATTGTAGCTTTTCAGGTTGATTAAATACTAAGTGTCAATTAATTTCAGGAGGTTTATATTTTACTTTAACCCAAAAAGCCAAAACACTAATCCTTTTATTTTACAAATAAATGTACATTATTTTAGTGGTGGCTGTACAACAATATATATATCTGAATAAATTCTACTTTACTGACTATAGGTAAAGCTTAGTTAGAACTTTACTTTGAATCATCAGGGTGGCCTGCTGATCCGACCAATTTCGTTTCAGGACAATACAAAGAAAAGTGATTATTCGCAAAAGTTTATGGCGTATTTTAAGATTGAAATTCAAAAAGTTAGTAGGGTTTGGAAAGTCAAGGGAGAAGGTTGAGTTTTCTCCTTTTTAGATTTTAAGGGAGTAAAGTGTCATGCATTCCTATGAAACTGTTTTTCACTCATTCTTTTACTATGAGTAAAACTGCATTTACAGGGTAAAGTTTTAATATAAAAAGAACATAAAGTATCGGTTATTGAAAGACTATTGAAATAAATCAGAGTGAGTTTGTTTGGAATTTAGTCTTAGGTATGGTATTAACTGCAATTCAGTTTTACATAGCGACTGTGGCGAGGTTTTGTCTTTATAAGTGCATAGAAAGATGAGTTTCTAGTTGTTTTTGCTAGGTAAAATCTATAGACAAGTGATTTAATATGGAATATTGCTATATCAATAAAAGATTACAGGGTCATGAACTCAGACGATATTATGTAATCTTATTCCTCTAACACACCTATTAAGAAGAAATTATAAGAAAATTTTTGCCATAAAACACAATTCCCGTAAGCCTAATCATAACATCGACTGTAAATTGAAGCGCTGATTCCCATTAAATTTGAAGAGTTTCGCTCATTCACAGCTCAATTTAAACCATTTCTCAACAAAATTATATACAAAATTATCTTCCAAAAAGATAACACATTTCAAGTATAATTTAGAATTCGTCAGATTTTACAAGGGAAAAGCAAACTCGACTTCGATGTCACTGTAGATATCCAGTCTATCAGAAGTGGTTTTGTGGAGCTTGTAATTTCAATAGTTAACCACCAGACCACTGAGCCGGCATCCAACGGTGTTAACGTCTAACTTCAACTAATCCACGAAATTGAGCGACATATCCATCATTCTCTTCAGTGAGTTACTATCTTACAACAGACCCGGTTGAACTCGACTGGTCACTGCTTCTCACTAAAACTCCAATGCTTCCAGGTTTTCCATGATGGTCTAGCGTCAATTGATTCATGATCTCAACTATTGAAATTTATACATCCTAACTAGTTTTTATGTATGTCAACCAAATGTTCATTTTCCAGAAAAGTTTTCAGTTAGTTTAGAAATAATAAACATTATAGGTTTCAGCCAAAATAAGATAGGATACTGATAATTACTAGCGTAGAAATTTAATCTTGTAAAGAGATTCATAACAGAGTTATGTGAGAAGACCAATAGAAAGTTAAGATTATACTCAGTTAATATTTACTTGTAAATGACCAAAGTAATCTAGAATACTCTCCCTATAACAGTTAAAACTGTTATGATATTTGTATTTTTTTCTTTTATTACTCTAATATGAAATATGATGTTATGATTTATATTACAGAAAAACACATAACACATTTAATTACATCATACATTTTAACTTCTTTCTCGTTTTATCTTTTTATACAATATGTACACAACTAGATTGTTACAGATCCTTCAGATTGTATAACACTTTGTAAAAAGAACAATTTTACATGGTCAGCTATATCAAATGACTCGTTTTGTTTCTGTGGAAATAATTTACCACCGGATACAGAATTATACAATTCAAGTTGCTTGTATTCAGAAACGGTAACGGTCTATAGGACAGAATCAAATGTTTATATAGGTCCATTTGTGGTAAGTGTAACCAATAGAAACAAGTTTGACCTTGACCTTTTTAAAATTAGGTATGTTGTGTAGCAACATTGAATTTGTAAGTCTGAGTAAATGTCAAACTTGAAGTAACTATCATGGGTTTCATAGTAAAAAAACGTGAGAATAATATTACATATGACATTTGTTTGACCAAAAAATCAATGAAAACATACTAGGAATCTGTTAACCTACTAATATGTGTCCATTTTTTTTACTGAGACTGTTGGAGAGCAATAGTCTATCGGAAAATTATGATGATAATTTATTTTGGTCTTGTAAGGTCACCATAGTCTACCTTATAAAAGATCTCAGTTTAAAAAGTTCTATTTAAGTAATGCAGAAATATGAATAAGTGTTAGCATATAACCTAAATGATGCGAGAGTTCTTTAAGCTGACATCGTTGGTGGATATTTTCGGACGAAACGGTAATGAAAAATTGTGCAGTTTTAACAAGATAGATGACTAAAAATACATCAGACTACACAAATGTGATCATATGAGAGAAAAATACATTTGTTCAATTACTAAGGTAAGTGTCTACTCTTTACTGAGCTGAAGGGTTCGGGAAATTCATACTGGGCTTGTAACTAAAAAACAATGGATTCAGTGAGACATCTCATAGGCCCTTGATAGTAGATGATGAAGATTCAGATTGAAAAATATCTGGTTTACAAAATAATTTATGAATTGAGTAAACCCAGATACCGTTTAAAAATAAGGGCCCGGAATTTTGATCATTAGTTCATTAGGTGGATAAATGATGAGTAACATAAAATGACTCTGAAAGTATGGGAACAGAATATTGTTTATTCTGCTTTAAAGTTAAACACTGAGCAAATGAGGCTGTAGTGAACAAGAACACCAGTGAGGACGATCGAATGTTTTTGACGACAAAATTAAAGAGCATCTCAATAAAATCTGAGATCCATATAGTAAATGCTTAATTTGCAAAAATATCCATCACTTGTCTTAAAATGACTCAGACATCATTGTTCTTTCATTTCCATACAAATAGCATTCTGTTTCCATTCTTTACTGTTCGATCCTCTTGTCTCTCTGCTGCCAGACATTCTATTACCGACTAACGTCATATACTACTTATGTCGATATAAGTAGCACATCACAAGGCTACTTTGCAACCCTTTTATTGCAAACGTTTGTAGGGCTGGATTAATTACGTATATACGCACGTGCGCACTATTTAGCGACTGATAGTATAGTACCAAGGATAAGCGCAGATCAAACTTAGTCGAGTGATGTGATTGCCATTCTCGACATATGTTCTGGTTTTCTGTGGAATAAGTTGGGGCACTTCAGTCCATGCAGCGCATTATATGTTATGCAATATACATTATGACTAGCCTAAAAAGTTGGCAATACTAGACTAATTCTTATCCTGTTGGTGGTATACAAGAAGAACTGTTTTATGATATGAATAGTCAAGTGTTAAGCGAGTCAACTTCACTGAGATTTAGCTCGCAGTATATAACTGTTTTCTAGTATGAATGATCGTTTAATCTATTCGATTATGATTAGATATTTTCACACGAACAGTGAATAAGTAGTTAAAAATACAGGCTGTCATTTTCATATTATAACTCACTAATCGCATACAAACGTTCCTATAAAATCCATCTTTATTTCTTTGTGTATTGACAGATACCTTGCGTATAAACAGGCCTTATGAAGGAACTATTTTGAAATTTATTAAATCTACATATTCAGTAACATAGTTTTCAAGATAAAAGCTCTTTTAAATGTTGAACAAACCTGTAAGAACTAAAAACGATATGAATAACTTGCTTGTGAAGTAATTTAAAAAAATGAATGGATTTGTGTCACGTTCAAGGTGACTTAAAAATATATGACGTAAGGTTGCTAGTTAACATTTTGTAGAATATAGAATAGATCTCGAGTTAAAACATCAAAAGGTGAAAAAGCAGAGCTGAGTAAAGTAAACGGACTAACACTGTATGTCGTTATTATTTTAGTCAGTTAACATATATTTCTTTTTTTAATAACGATTTAAATACCTTCCCATAGATTACAACAACAGATTTGACAGTTAAACAAGTTGGAGATACAATCTCAATAAATTTTGTAATACCAACAGAATTTAAAGTTTTACCTGGTGTCAAAGTTTATGAATTCGATTATGGCGATTCACTACAAACTACAGAAAACATCTCAGATATTACTATACCACTAGTAATAAGGTACAATGCACCAGGTCCTGTTTGGCCAACACTGAGGGCGAGAAATCAAGATGGTACAACTGTAAGTGTATTTAATTATATTGTAAATGTTCGCAGATGTAATTTGATAATGCAGGTACAAAATATAATGATGTTAATCCATAAAACGTATCAAGAGATTTTCAAAATTATGTCATCAATGATTTTCAAATTTAGAATTTCCTTAAGGATAAGTAAATACAATCAAACCTTTAATTCTTCTCAGTTAATAGTTCGGTTGAAAATGGAACTTCTGATTAACTGTATCAGCTGTACCAGCTTTTATATCGAATTCAATCCTTCGTCTTTTCTATATTGAAGTCCACCACATTTTCTACTGTTGAAACATTATAAAGAACAAAGCATAAATTGAATATATTTATATGAAATGAAGAGTAGTTATCACGTTATAGTCATGTTATTTATGTTCTTAGTTAAATATCGAACAAAATAAAAGAGCCGAATTACACAATTCAATATAATTCTTTAATGTTGGAAAATTAAGGCTATTGGATTTTGAACTAACGGTTTAACAGAAAGATTATTGTCAAATTATAACCCTATAGTTTTAGATTCCAAATACGCTCGAGAGTGAGCTGTGAACTAAAACTATGATCCTTTCACGATTTTTAGTGGTTTTCTTAACAATATTTATTTATATAAGTAGTCTTATATCAATCAGTCATCAAATAACTAAGAGTTATCACTGTTATATAATGTGTTCTATGTTCAACTAGGTTTTATGGTAGTCCATTTCTAGTCTGCTTCCAATAATTCTCTAATTTCAACAGTTGGGATCATGAGTCAAATAAAGCTAGACCACCATGGAAAACCTTTAAGCACTGGACGACAGTTTCGTCCTATTGTGGGACTCTTCAGCAGTGCGCATCCACGATCCCGCCTCGCGGGATTCGAACCTAGGATCTATCAGTCTCGCGCAAGGCGTTTAACCAATTAGATCACTGAGCCGGCATCCGACGGTGTTGATGTCTAACTTCAACTAATCCACGAAATTGAGCGACACATCCACCATTGTCATCAGTAAGTTACTACCTCACAACAGACCCGGTTGAACTCGACTGGTCACTGCTTCTCACTAGAACTCCAGGATATATCTCTTGAAGCCAGTCACTAGTGAGCATATGTTGATTAGTATCAGACGAAACGGCCGTTCAGTACTTCCAGGTTTTTCATGGTGGTCTAGTTTCAATTGACTCATGATCTCAGCTGTTGAAATTACTACAATCTCCGCAAAACCTCTTCTAATTCTCTAATTGTTGTTTTAAACCATATTCTCATTTTAATTTCTCTTTAGTGAAAGATGATTTAAATTAAACCATTACAATTTATGCCTTGTTACTTATCTCATGATAATTGTATTAAGATATCTATTCTCTTAGAGATTATTTTAGTATTAATGAATTCTTTTTCGAGTTTTTTCCCCAGCAAAAGGGTTTTCCTAATTTTGTCTCATTTGTATCTCGGTTCTAACTGACAAAATCTATATGTAGATGAATTTCATATTTTTTTGTTACCAATACTTCAGGATGCCCTATATTTGTCTCTGAATACATCATATATCTTATGAAAGTCTGATTATGCTCATAATTGCTTAATTAGAAAAATTGAATTTACTACAAATCTTTCATATTTTAGACTGGCTCAGCAAGTTTAGCATTAATGATTTATGAACTGATAACTCCGGCTGATATTACGTTTAACTGCCCACTACTTGTCATGAGTGGATCTGTATTCACCTGTCAACTGAAATGCAATAAGGGAAGTCATATACAAGGGACTGTGTCGTTTGCGAACGATTGGCAAGATACAATCTCATTACCAGGTATGATGCTTCACTAGAAAAGTTTACTTGAAAATTTAATTTATATATGATAAAATAAAGGAACTTGAATGCTATATTGGAGCATAAAGATTTGTCATTTATTTTTTAGAACAACTTAATGTTACAATTCAACATGATCTGTATAATTCACTGATCATTCATTAACTGACGCAATTATAGTAACTAAAAGGCGGTAAACAACACTTTGGGTATATCTACTGTGAAACACTTTTTAAAATCCTTATTGAAAAACACTCAGGTATCATGATAAATGATAGTCATTTACAGACATATCACATTCTTAAAACAATCAAAATGGAAAAAGATTGATAAATTAATTTTTGATGGTTTTTCTAATCCTTATGAAGTGACACAAATTTCACGATCCAGATAGTTGATTGTGAGTTAAGTGAGAAAAGATACAAATCAAGTGCATTTTATTACATGAACACCTTAGATTGCTATCAACAAATAAGAATGTTGTTTATTAGATGAGTTATTTAAACAACTGAAGATTATTTGAGAGGTTTAAAAGTTGGTAGTTTTCAGTAAACCAATAATAATTATCGCATTTAAATAATCTGAATTCATTTGTTTTGTGAAGAGGATCGGCGAGACTATAAATTACAGACGAACCTATCAGGTATAAGATAATAGGTCTCGGATTTAGGTGCGGAATTCCCTCATCCATTTGATTATACCGAGTTTTGACATTATAGTTGATGTCCTAATCTTAACCACAAACTGTGAATCATAATTCTAATTCCTCACACTGATTTATAACCCTCATTTGGTCCTAGTTATTAGCTTGACACTTTCAAGGTCACTTTATCGTCTTTCAAATGTCTCACCAGGAAATGAATGGAAGTTTTAGTTATTTTTATGAAAACCGATGAGTTTTTAAAATTATTCTATTTCAAAAACAGTGTTGATCATGATAGTAAGTAGTCTGAAGAATTTATCTGGCTAGAAGCTGCTTGGTATCATGTCTGCTTTGAATTGAAGCTCAAAACTTACAATCATAAATTATTCATATTTATGCTTATGTGTTTTAATTTAAACAAATTATTCCCATGATTCATTATGAAGTTTACCACTTAACAACATGAGGTTTAACAGTTTCTACAAATTTAAGAGCTCTCTAATTTATTTACATTGGGCCTGACCTAACCTTCAACAATCAAGTATTTTATTACAAACAGAGACTTTTTAACTTATTTTGATAATATACAGAAATGCAATAAGTAAATTCTTTATGAATTACGATCAGCAAAACTCATCCTATTTGATTAGCTGATTTATCATAATTTACTATACAGCTTATTAAGTCTTCTATTTCACTTGTGGATGAACTAGACTAACGATTTAAGCGTGATAATAGACGATATGCAAACCGAAATTTGGCCATTCGACCCATTTCTCTACGCTAGTCATCATTACATATCTAAAACCTTGAGCCAATAGCTTTCTCAGCTATTCAACCACATGCTATAAACTACATGAATGAGCACAGTTTTCTCTTAAAACCCCAGTTTGCTAGATAACTCCAACTTCTAAGAAATTCATCTGACTGCGCTTGTTTTAAAATTATTTTGACAACGATATATCTCTGTACCTACTGTATTGTTGAAGTCAAAATTTATAGGTTTAATAAAATAGTTCTTCTTGAGTTCATGTTTTCAAAATAACCATTCTGGTCACATTTAGAACGAAAACAATGAGTATTTAAAAATGAGTAAATCTATATTGCTTGTCCTCTTCCTGTTCAAATGGGTCATCTGGCCGAAACAACTTCGTTAAGATTACATAATCTACAATGAACGCTATACATTTTATTTGACTATTTTAGTAAATAGTAAGTCATCATTAGACAACAGAAATCCAGGAAACAGACCATTACTTTAAAGTATTTGAATTATTACAAAAATGGCCTTCTGAGTTGAGAGTAAAAACAAGTATATATTTCTTCAGCGTATAAAAATTGAGTGAGACATAACTCTTATGTCATACACATTACATTCTACACATGTGACATTTTTCGCACCTTTATGATTTTCTGACCACCCAAATACAATATTAACGGGGTTTCGTTTAGGAATTATACAGTCAACAAAGTTGTAACTTGTGAGCAAGTGTATTTGTTTGTCATTTTTCGCCCCTGTCTGTAATTTATATCAAGCAGAGTGAAGTGACATTACCACTGGATTACAGTCTTATCCAAGTCAGTTGACTAGATTAATTTGTTTTTTTTATATCACGTTCTTGTAAATGAGTTAGTCCTCCCAGTAATATGTTAGCTCTAATCAGATGAAATAAGATCATTTTTCTCGTCATGAAAAACTATGGATTAATATCGATGGTGTTCAACTACTCATTTTGTTCGGTAGTACATGAGGAATTAATTTAGTGCAATAAAATGTCTTATGACCTGATTCAGTAGAAGCAAATTGTAGTAGATATTAGATTCACAAAGATATACAGTCTGATCCAAGTATTCAGAATACAACGTTCAGTAACTCAATAACCATAATGATTTGCACGGGAACGCTTTGATTGATTTACTTCTGATGTAGAAATAATCAGAGTAGTAGGATAGGACATTAAAGTTGAGAAAAACTTAAAAATGGATCTTCTACCTGATTTTCAAATCCTTTTTTTCCAACGGCCTTAAAATACAGAGAAATAGCTGTTGAAAACTATGTAGTGAGCGAGAACACCAGTGGGGACAACGAAACGTATTCCGAAACAAAATTACAGAATATCTTAGTAAAATCTGATAACCATACAATAAATAATTTGTTTGCAAAATGTTAATCAATCGTCACAGACTTGATTGTTTCTTTGTTTGCACAACAATCATTCACTGTTCTCGTTCTCTTTTCTTTGATCTTCTTAACCTTCTGCTGCCAAGTATTTCACTTTCGACTGATGATGCATACTACTTATATCTGTCGACATCAATAACACATACCACAACTATACATTGTCGTTTCTAGTGGATATAACATTTTTAATAAATGCTACTTACAAAACCACGAATAGTTTTTATCTCAGTATTACTAGTTCAGTATTCGATCAAACAACTCGATTTTTTAGATGAGGCATATTGTGTTGATTGCTAGAAATAAAAATACCACATATTAACAATAATAGATATTCAATTCAGAGAAGAATATTGTTAAAGACATCGTATATTGCATGAAAATGATATTTTTCAAGCTATGCTGAGTAATGAAGCAAGTTATTACTTTAATTAAAGATGTTTTTGATTGAATGAACGTTACAGTGGCAATGACAACGACTGGTTATTAGATGGTAGACAATATTAATATATATTCACTACTGTAATGCAAACATTAAACTAAGTGACCATACGTCATAGTGAATTGTTTGATACGTGAGCTGTTGACAAGGTGATATTTTAGTGTCTTATATTAAATTGGATAAATTTTTTCGTTTCATTATAACTTATGTTTGTTGTATTTTTCAAATCAATAAACTTTCAAGTATAATTCATGTACCTAACATTTGTTTTTTTCCCAGTCGTTAAGAATACGGATAATTTTAACTCAGAATTAGAGGTGATACAATTTAACAGAGATTTCTCGAAATTTACTAATATATGAGGCTGATAGATGATGTTACACATACGTATAATCAAGATATAGAACCTACAGTTGATTGACTAAATTAATATCAAACACTAACCAAGATAACAAATCAGCTTAAGCACAATTATTTGTTTATTTCATAACTCATTTATACGACTGAATTTCCTGATTCGTTCCAAAATGTTATAATATTTAGTTACAGAGCTTCGGTACGGAGTAATCTAATTCTGTTAATCTTTATTTATTGTAAATTTGAGTTTATTAACTTGATATACCACTGTTGTTTCTTTTTTTGGCGCAGTTGCTTTGTTTTTTATTCTTCAGAACCAAATTATGATTGGATAGGACTGCCTCCAAAACGTATGAAAGATACAATGATAAATTATAACACAAACAAGTTAATCATCACTGGTTCACAAGCTCGCTATGATGGAACAATCAGTACAATTCAAATACATGCACTTCTATTAACTGATGTCACCTTTTATGTAAGTTGTATTTATTTCAATTCAGCCACAAACAAATATCTTCTTGGTAAGATTCACTAATGGTTGATCACCTGTCACATGAGGAGTCTACCGAGATGAAAATAAGTTTAATTTCCTTTTTTAAGATTCCATTAATAGATGCACTGAGATATCTTCATTATTCAATAAATAAGATATTAGTAGAATAATAGTCATTAGTACGACAAAGATTGACCAGTACCAATGACCGCGTATTTATACTATTTGATTGATTGATCATTTGGTACAAATTTAAACTATTTGTTAATTTAGGGTCTTCATATAATGAGTAAAACGTTGTCATTCAAAATAAACATCAAATATAGCATAAACAAATATCCTTCAAAGTCATTCTTCCGTTGGATGTTTCCTTCGGTCTTGACCTATTTTATAAATGATGAACCACATAGAAGTGTAGATTTAGTTACTGATTGACTTTGTAGACGAGAAATTTATGTACCTGATATGCCAAACTACATTGTTTCACACTCCAAAACGTTATCTGTACATACTGAACTATTCAACCTGAGCTTATCTTTTGAAAACAACACTTGTTTGTTACATTATCAGTGATCTATGGATAGTTGAAAATGGGAAATAATCCACGAGGTTAGTTGAAATAAACTAGTGATTCAGATTTTCTACATTTACCTGGCTAACTGAAGAACAAAATCGCTTAAATGATGGCAATAAGCACACTTTTCGAGACGTAGGTAAAGATCATAAATTAAGTTTAACAAAGACTTGATTCGCAGCCGAATTCGAGATGGTTGATTTCGGTAAAAAGTCTATCACAGTAATAAGCGAAATGAAAGATTCAGCTGTTAATTTAATTCCAGTTTTACTCTAATAGAGCAGATCTAAGGAAAGCCGTCATAGTAGACAGAAATGTATGGTTATTCATTTTCCCCAGTACTAGCTACCTATTTACAGTCACAAAAACCAATTTCGATAAACCGAAACTAGGTAGGGTATGGAAATCGTTGAATGACAGATTAATTAAGGTGCATCTTGTCAAATATCAGAAGATTGGTTGGCTACATTCATCATTCAACACCCATTTACAGTCTTAACACTTACATTTCAATATCTTAAACAATAATTAATCTGGATTGAGTTACCAGAGTTAGGAAATTATCTATATTGTTCCTGCCACTTTAAATAATTAATACAGTTAGGATAATTATGGTCAGACATTCCTTGTTTGTTTATTATTTCAGCTTTTACGCGTTCAATGCACTGGTGGTATGTACAATTTTGAAACCAATAGCTGTTCATCGACGAACAATCGTAGCGTAACGTGTACAGCAGATCAAGTGTTTTCTGGTTTGGTCCGGGATTGCGTTAATATATCATCATCCTACTGCGGTAATCTACGGCAACTGAAATTAGATAAACCTATAATTGTTGAAAATTATGATTATCAAGTGATAGGAGTAAGTGATTCCATAAACGGTAGTACTTGCTATCATTCTGAAGATTTTAGTTAGTTAATTTTCTCTGCAGATTTTAATAAGACATAATCTATGTGAAATGTGTGATGTATTAACGAAATAAATTTTGGATTATTATGAAACCTCGAAAACAAAAAACGTCAGGTGATATTTACCAAAGTGAGGATTTGACGACGAAACGCTTTTTATTACACAAAGGAGACCGAAATTTCCAAGTCGTTAAAACTTCGGTTGATGAAAATATGTGTCTAAAATGGATTTGAAGAACATATTCGTTATATATTTAGTGGTGGAAGAGATTTAGCCTTGGTATCCGATGGGTTTATTTTTCATTGAAATCACTGAGTTTGCATTGACTTTCATCATTGATTTACATAGATCTCATATCGTCTCAGTAATCATGCACAAAACACATATATGTAATTAGATGCAATGTAACTTGATATAATCGTATCTTAAATGTACAGAATAAGTGGTATGTAGGTTACATGTCTGACAGTGAAGCTTTAGCTATAAGGTGTTTTAGGATAATCGCTACTCCGGGTCATTTTTCAAAGGTCAAACCATGGAAACCACTCGTATGTAGCTGTGATAAATATATTTTCCTGTGTTCTGGTCAATATATAACACAAGGTAATACATCTTAATCATTATTTAGCTATTATTCTACTATTGTGGTTTGTTGTACATCTTATAAGCTTAAAATGGTAGAGAAATATTTAGTCGGTTACGATTATTACTGGATTGTTTGAAGAACGCAAAATCCATCAATAAGTATTTCTACAAACCCATAAGTAGCTAATAGTAACCTTAGGGTGCTGTATCTTCCTGGATCATATAAAGGACATTAGATCCAGTTACTGACTGTAAAATAGTAATTCGTTGATTTTTTCCACTGCATTTAAATTTCAGATTCCTATTTAGAGCGAAAACAAAATGTGATATTTCATGGTTTGCTTTGGAAAATTAATATGAGGTTATTTTTTTGAAGATATAAGCCAGTCTTGTCACTCCAGCAGATACACGATCATTAAATTATATCAGTTCTATTTCTTTGCTGATAAGGGATCAAAATCAGATTATGTTACACCCTAAGATTTTTGCTTCGTAAATGTCTAACTAAGTACAGACGGCTTAAGTGAAAATGACTATACTTATAAATATTTTCATTAAATCAGAACTTAGTCATTCAAAGCTGAGGAGTTCATACTTATTAGAATGGTGAAATATATCTACGGCTTAAATAATGCTGATTTAGTTAATGTTTCTAACTGAATTAAGCGTTTCCCTCCTTTTACTCATTCTGTTTACTGATCAATATCAGAGTAAACAGTTTTCACTGTAAAGTTTGATGCCAATAACGACTAACATCTTAAGATTTTGCCTTTCATGGGTAACTGAGTAAGAATTATATAACTACGTTTCCCCCGATTGCATTATTCCTACCTCGAAATATGAATCTTTTAAACGTTTACTCCGGTTTAATTTTCAATAGTCAACACAAAACTACCAATGTAGCTTTACAGATATTATAACGAAGATAACTTCCAGCAATATGTTTTATCCTTATCCTGAAAAAGATCAAGCAACTCCTACTTACTCGTTTTTACACAATAATTCCAAACTTATTTCAAATTTCTAAAATACCATTCTCCAAGTCATTTTCAGTGACTTTCTTAGCATGCGTTTACAAAGTACCTTAATTTAAATGACTCCACTGAAATGGCCCTTATGGTGGTAATTTCATCTTCCAAAGCTATAAAGGTCATATGTGGTGACCGTAATATGCAGTCTTATAAAACCCGTAGCGATTATTAGGCTCAAATGTAGTTATACAGACACTTCAAACTGTTTGTCTATGGCATAGTTCAATAAGAAATATCTCGATAACAAACCTCCGTGAAATGGTTCACAGTTAACCAATACAATCAAACCGATGGATTCAATGTCAAGAGATGAAATGTCAAATGTCGTCGAGTAAATAAAATGTCGCGCATGACTTAAATACAATATCTTAAAAAGTGATCCTCATCTTCATCTCTGTTTACATAAACAAAAATTAACTTTCAAACGTAACGAAATGTTTTCACTCGTATCAATGGATCTGGGCAGTAATGAACATGATTTAGACATAGAAACTACTGAGATATTAAAGTGGGGACGCACATTAAGAAGACTTTTGAGAAAGTAGCTCTCAGTTCATTCAGCACATTGAGATAAATCCAGTTCATCAACCTATGAGGAAATGTTAGCCAACTATTAGGTCAGCAAGAAACATTGTATTTGCAGATAGTGGTAGTACAATTAACAGTATCAACCAATCATATCCCATTTCAACAGGACAAGTTGTCGGTCACTGATTAAAAAAATTTAAATCGATCATTTTCAGGGTTCTACCAGTGACTTTGTCTAGCAATACAATGAAAGCTTCAGTAGTTAACGTTTAAAATTTAATTGCTCTAAAATCCCATATCCTATCTATTATTGAACGCATTAAGAAGTCATAGTCTTTAAAAACAACATGAGCTGTAATATTTAGAGTTGAAAACATATTGAATATTTTTTTGACTAATTGATCTCGTTTGTCTGATGTTTTCTATGAAATTTTATTTTTAGATTTATACTGTCAAATTAACAGTTTTAGGTTGGCAGAGTATTAAGTTGCCTTCAGTATGGACTATTCAGTCAGGTGATCGAATAGGATTCACTAGTATCTTAGCAGGAAGTATTGGATGTGCTCCTTCCTCATCATATGAAGCTGATGATTTAGAAACCTTGACAACGTTTTCTGGAATTAATGGAAGTTCTGTATTAAGGAGTAGTCTAAAGCGTTTGACTTCTATACGACATCAGGTAAGTTTAACAACAGATGCTACCTTACCAGAAGAAAGAAAGGTTATCTATATCTCTGTTATTAATTTTAACCCAGCTTAACTTTCTTTAGTATAATGAGCTCAAAATTGATTTAATCATGAACAATGCTTGAATATAATAATTGTGATAGATTCATATTGCTGTAACACTCGAGAAAGTATAACTTTATTTCAATAATAATGAATAATGTTCATTCATTAAAACTGGACTTTTACTTCCAGCTAATTAAACAGAACTATAAGAATCTATTCGCACATTTATATTGAAGGATAGGTGGTTGAATACAGTCATTTGGAGATAATATTCAAATTTAGTTTTATTATATAGATGGTCTACACATTAAAAGTATGGTTAAAACACTATGGATGCTGCTATTTCAAGAAACATTTGATGAAACACGTAGGGTTGTATGATTGCTGAAATAGCTCTGTGTTTAAAACTATCTGTCTCTCGAAAATCACTAAAATAATGATATTTTCAATTGCAGATTGGGGCTTGGATCAGGCCAACTCATGATGCATTATTGACTGGATATATAAACACGACAGGGTATCAAGACGTCTCACTTCAGCTGTACAGTTACTGGGGCAAGAACTATACATCACCGGCTCTCATTAAAACCACTGTTATGATAGATGAAATTATAAATGAAACTCAGCTAATATTAAGCTCATGTGCTGTGGGAATACAATGTTCATTAGAACTTAAAAGTCATACAGGTAGTTAATTGCTAAACAAATATTCTCATATTGTTTCATCAGATTTTTCTCAGTGAACTTTGTAGTTTATCCGAGAATGAAAATTTTTGGCTAAACTTAGTACATATATTGCAACTTTGCAAAATGAACGTATTAGAGTTAATGCTTTGTACTAAAAAACCAATATTATAAATGACATTGAGCTGGATGAGAAACGGTAACATATATAATAAGGTTTCTCCATATTGATTGAATTGAGTCATAAAAATGACAAACATCTTACTCAAGCTCAGTGTGCATATATCCAAACTACTTAAATTTTCTTATTTCAGTCACCAAAACATTAACTAGTAGTACTTTGGGGGCAGTTCAACACCTTTTAATTTACTCAGTAATGTAAATGTTTCCAACAAATGAGCTGATAGTCACCGTCTAACTTTATGATTAATACGGTCTCTAACATAATACAGTAAAAGTAATCAAACTAGTGTGTAAGAATTTTATGACAGTTTTTTTTGTAAATAAGTCATAATATTCCTTGCATCTTCAATAAGCTTAAATTCCCTTCAGCATGAGTAACTGAAAAAAAAGTTCAAAAACTTGAATTTACCTGGATGATTTGACTGTTGAGTGAACTGATCCCATGATGAAGATCGAAATTAAAGGGAAACTTTTATTTATGTTTTACATCAGGCACAAAAACATTTTTATAACTGAATATATATATATATATACCTAATGTGCTTTATTTTAATAGGCATTAATGTCACTTATGTATGGGATTTTGGTGATGGCACAGTACAGAAAACAACATCAGTTAAAATGGTGCAAAAAACCTACAGTACTGCTGGTAATTATAATTTGACCGTCAATATAAGCAACAGTATCCAGTACAAAATAATTGTACAAAATGTGAGTGTGATAGACAAATTTGAGTTTGATGAAATACAAGGAAATCAGTTTACTGAATTGAATGCACTAACCACTCTAAAATTAAATCTATCTGGAAACAGATTTATATGTTCCTGGTATCTGAACGGTGTTTTGTCTAAAAATGATAGTATGACACAATTTGATTACACGCATATTCAAAGTGGTGTGGTAGTCTGGAATGTGACTTGTCGAACTCCTGTGGAAACTATTAGTAGAAAACTGGAACAATTTGTAATGGAGCGTTTCACAGGTCAGTAAAATTTCATAATACTTTCCATGGTGAAATGTTTTGACATAATACTGAGATGTGATCTTAGGCAAGTGATTAGATCTATCATCTCTTTCCGAATGATAAAACAATGCTCAATCTAATGACACAAGAAAATTTGTTTTTCACTGGGATCTTAAGTGAACTGAAGTGAATAAAAGCAAGCAACAAAAACTTATTCTATACTGTAAATATAAAGTTCATTGTTTATTGTGCATTCACTGATATGAAAGCCTAATCTTCTATTAATACAAATAGCAGTTCTACCAATTATTGAAATAGTAACACCTAGATATTTTATTTCAGAATACTTTACTGAGTGTTTGAGCAAAGTCACATGGTAAGTGATACATGGAGATCTAAAGATAAGGTTTGTCAAAACTGTGTGATGCGCTAGTGGATTACATTTTTTAAAATTTCTACATAAACATAAAATTATTAGGATAAAGGTCGAATTAAATCTAATGAAACATAAAAACAAAAATTAGTACGAAAATACCATTGTTATTCACACTAGTGTAGCGGTAAATAAATCCCCCAAACCAATATCTCTGTAAGTCTTCGACATTGGATACTGATCACATTAGTTTTAATGGACTCACCTAGCTGAAGGCGCTCAGTCATGCATCCACACCAGATCACGAGTGGGAACGCCGTGCTCAACATTCCCTGCAATCGCTAATCAGGTTAGGTCAGTCGATCCTCGATCTATAGATAGCCTATCAAATATATATTCGAACCTCCTGGCTTCTGTCTTTTGATTTCACTTGGTGGGTACGATTCATAGTAGAAGATGTTACTGGTTAAAGCGTTGTCACACTCCAAATACCCTTGACATCTTCACTAGTATTTGTATCAAAATGAAAATTAACATTGGAAAGGTAGCTTTGATATAAATGAAAAATGTTCTTTGGGTCTTTAGGAAAAGTATAAATAGAGTTTAGTTCCGACAAATTAGATCTTAAGTTAGTGATCAATATTCCAGAACCCCATTCAAGATATAAGTATGTACTAGTTAAGAGTCATCAATTAAACCTTTAGATTTTCAAAGATTATTTGAAATAAAGTGAAACATCCTGTGAAGCAATTTCACAAGCTATGTTATTCTCATTTCTCCTTTCCAATAGGACTTTCACTTGTAACAAAAGTTTACAAGTGGCGAAACCAGCTCAGATTGTTTTTACTTTCATAACTGGGAATAATTTAACATCTCAGTTGACTTTCTTCAATCAAATTTTAAATACACGCATTGATTATGTACAGAAAACTATCACATCTGAACTGGTGAGTGAGTCACAGATAGCGTCTGTAAACTACAGCTTATGGACAACCAATCCAATTAGTTCAAATTTAACTACTGGTCAGATACTGTTTGATGTACCAGTACTTGGGATGAACATACAAGTTGAGCCGAAGTAAGTTTTAATGAGGAATTTTTTGATTTTTGAAGAACTATGTTCTGGAAACATTCATACTGTAAATGAAGTATATTATCCAAAAGATTAATTTTGTAGTTTTTTTACTTTGAATTTATAAAAATTAGTTATAGATTCGGCACAAACGTCAATCAAGCAAACACAACCTGATAGCTCGGAAAAAAACATTTGTGATAAACAGCTTTTATACTCTTGATATATAGCAGTAAAAGATATGTGACGATATATGCTTACAAAATTTTTCGAAAGAAGATACAACCTTCTTTAAATGTGTAAATATAGTTGCTTCAACTAAGAACTTGTAATAAATATGCAATGTATCTTTATTTGATCATTCTGAATCACAATTTTAGTATTTTCTTCGATAGTACAGCTAAAAATAACATATGTATGGTAGTACCTAATCATCTGAAGCAAGGTCTACCATTTATATGACAGAAAGCGATTTTTCAAGTTATTACTCAAATTAGTTTGAACCTTAATCTACATATACGAGAGTGAGACTGTCCTGAAGCAGCCAAAGCAAAGATGGAGTTGAAGTTCACTATTTTGAAACAAAATTTAGATTATCACTATTTATTTCAATGTTCGTTCACTACTAATTCATTTATAAATCGACTTATATATTTTTCTGTTCATTGTAACTGATGAAAGTTAAGTGTATTACTAAATGCAAACTAACTGTGAATCAGAAGAAATTACTTTGGAAACTGCAATAAACTGGTAACCAACATCATTCAAAAAACACGATTATTTTCTAGAATGATTATGCAGTTACATAATCATACATAAGTCTTGTAACTATCAGTAAGTGTTAAACATTAACTAGAGATTATAAAAATATTTTTACAGATTTGTGAGTCGAGTCCAAATAAAAATAAATATTGTTTTTAAGATTTCTAATTCCAACTACTTGAAGTAATCTCACTTAAAATTTGAGTAGGTTTTTAGAAACAAAGTTTTGCTTAGCGTTTAACGGTTAGACACAAGGGAAAAAAGACTTTGCTTGAAACTTCAATTATGATTGCGCTTAACTGATCGCTGTATTCAATTTCTTCATCTCTTAAACAGTTACGCTGGCCCTTCTCAAAACATGATTTTTCGTGTTTCGTTTCAAGAAGGCACATCAATCATTTTGACTGTTAATTATGGTGACGGTGAAGTAATCCAGCAATCCGCTATGCAGTTGCAAACATGGCCAAAGGATTATCAGTTGACCAAAAAGTATTTAAACGCCGGTGAGTACACTGTGACGTTTTCAGCATCCTCAGGGGGTAATACAGAGAACAGGACAGTCACGGTTTATGTAGTTGATAAGATTGGGGTTTACGCGGCTCAAGCCATTACTGAATCTGTAGCTGTTTACGATCCCGCAACTTTGAAGATAACAAGGCAATCTGGAAATCCTGCAGTGTTAACTAAAATAAGCTTAGACTGGGGCGATAACAGTCAGTTCACCCTAGACGATTTCCGCGAAGGTGCTGTTTACAGTCATATTTACAAAAGTGAGGGGGATTTCGGAGTTACCGCTTTACTTACAAATCCAGTTGACCAAAAAGTTTTTGTTACCACACTTAAAGTTAGAGCAAGGATTGAAGATTTTGGTTGTCAAGTTGCACCAAATCCAGTTGAGACAGGAAAACTGTTAGTGATTTCAGTGGTTTATAAAAGTGCACAAGATGTCATCATCAATGCTTTGTTAAATAACCGAACAGATTCCAAACAAATCAACGTACCAGGTTAGTTTTATACTGTTGAATTTTCTGAAGAGTTATACTTGTACTAAGCTGATAACATAGGCTGTTTTTTTTTTAAAAATACCCACCTTAGATCACTGAACTGCTTACAGCAATTGTGTTAAATGAATCGGATCTATTGCTATCACTAAGGAATTTTACAAATTTTGAAGTTGTTGCGAACATTTCTCATAAATGTATTATGCATCTGTCCCAAAGTGTATGATCAAATATGTTTGTTGCAAACCATTGTGACAAAATCCATGTTCGTTTTTGTATAATCTTAAAAAAATGTATACATCATCCTGTACTTAAATCAGTAATCTTTAATTTATTTAGTGTGATGTTGTATTTTGAAGCTTTCTGAACAACAACGTTACGAATCAAGGTAAATAATTATCTATCTTTTTCAGAGTAAGAGATAAGTTTTCCGTTGTTAAGTTGGTCACTCAAGCGAAGTAAAACTGATGCGAAATTCCAAAGTAAAAAGAACCTCGTTTTTGTTCAGTTTAGTCCAAGAAAAGTGGATGATATAATATAACTGTAAAGAAAATCATAACTTCATGTCTAAAGATGCATCACATCATAAACATGCAACACCATAAAGGACTACTTCGTGGACACGTGAGGTTCTGAAAATTGCTTCACACAAGTTAAATCAGTCGATCCTTATGAATTTGTTTGTGACTGCTTTTCTTCTCACATTTGCAAACATATGATTAGAGAAGGTAGTTAGAGTGCGACAAATCATAGTGACGAGTTTGGTAACAAGACCGACAGAGAAGCAGAAACGCATCTTCTCCACATTGTGAACACGCGTTACTGTTGATATTCAAAGGATTCCAACTGAGATACATAAGGTTTTTTTTAATTAGCCTCTTTTGTCCACAAACACTGACAACTCAATGAAAATTATCTCACTCTCCAAAACATTGTACAACTTAGTCAACAGTTTTTTTCGCAATGAGATGAATAACGTCGCAAAAATTATAATACATGGAAGTGAAAAGATATTCTGGTAAATGGAAACAGATTTCTGCCGAAAAGCTGGTTTGTTTGACGTCCATGTTTGAATGAAGGGGGTAAAATGACTAATAGTTATTAAAAATTAGGTAATCAGTTCATTTGTGTTAATACTAACCGGTATTTTAACTTAAAAATACATTTTAGCACCTAAATTAACAGAGATAAATTACAACTATCCTGTTGCCGGTTTGTATTATGAGGAAATACAAGCACAGAATTTAGTCAGCAATCAGTCATGTTCACTTATAGTTGATGTTCGGAATAAAATAGTAAATATGAATATCGAATATGGCGGTCATGCAGTATACCCACCTGGTGAGTATCTGATTTACCCCTTATTATTATTATTATTTAATGTATAGATGAAGATTAAATTTGAAAATTTAATTAGAAATATTTTTTTAATTCAAACTATTGAAAGTAGAATTTTGATGGATGAATTAATTGATGTTTTTCACAAGTAAAACTTATTCATGGCATTATTATTAGCTAAGTCATAATTCCTGTAAAGGTATTACATTTTAGATATGCCTATTTCCATATTATGAATGCTGTACTAGAATTAGATAAACACCATGTTTTTTGTTTAACTTTCTTGAGAACATGAATAGAGTTATACAAAAGTGTGAATGTTGAGTGGAAAATGTTCAATAGTTTTAAACTCAACAATCATTTGATAATTTTGATTTGCTTGATCTCTAGTTTTAAAAAGAATTTGTTCAATTGTTCAATATTATACATTTAAATACATCATACTAATATGGATTATAGACTGAATTTCATTAATCAGCTCTGTTTGATGCTAAACTGATCAGCTTAGTCATTGATGAAGTTAAATTGAAGGACAGAATCCTTGTATTATTTAAACATTGTTGAAATAATTTCATAATGAATGAGTAAAACTAATCTTTATCAAGGTTTACTGAAAAACATAAAGTTGTCTATATGAAAATACCTATTATACTCATTCATTTTACAACTTTAGGGGTTAAAATAGTTCCTGCCTGATCATTTGTTTTTCTTATTTAGGACTAAATAGTATTGTTTAAACCTATCGTTTTGACAAATGATTTTAGTTAGATTACCACTATTGTGTTTTGCTAAGTCAGTGTTAACTGTGAGCTATTTATTTACTTATTCAAATCAAATTCATAATTCATGACTAATTGACAGATATTGTATAGTACCTACCGACGACATAACTGGCATTTACATTTAGACGTTTATATACTTCCAAACATACAATATTGAAAACGATATTGTAATTTATGATAGATTTTTGTAGCACAGTGAAGTATTTCAGTATCTAAGAAAACAGTTGGAAAGATCGCAGATGCTAAAAATAATGATAGTTCATAAATCAGCTGTATGTCATTTACCAAAAATGTTTCCGAAATTCTAACTTTACAACCAAATATAATGCCTCATATTTCAGGATCTGTCACATTTACTTTAACATACACTGGAATAGCTGCCAATTTTCCAACACTAGCTAAATATAAAGTGGTATGGGAGATGGAAGTGCACTCTCAGAAGGAATGTTAACATTGGCAAATCAACCACAAAAAATCAGTCACGTTTTAGCTGATTTAAATTACTTTCAAGCTTCTGTCACCTTGGATAATGTTATAAGTACCATGACGAAAAATACTCAGGTAAGTCCACATTATTTTATGATTGTTGCCTCATATCATAAGATTTTCTTCATATCGTATGTTTGATAAAAGTGAGCACAACCTAATCCATAGTTGTGAGTTCAAATTACTGATAAGAAAATGACCAAGGCAAATATATTTTTAAAATCAAGGAATTTCAACTTGAAATTATCTTTAACGCGGAACTGACTAATGCGTAAAGCTCCCTTCAATCAACTGGTAGTGAAATAGAACTTTAAGAATCATAATCGAACAAATATAGGTAATATAAGGTTTGAGAAATGATAGGATAATTAATACCGTATATCGTATGTTACGTGAGAGATCATTTACTGTATGAAATAATATGAGTTGGTCAAGACAAAACAATTAAATCAGATAAATATGAGTTGTGAAAATATATAGCATATGTTGGCCCATTTAATATCACAGAGATGACTCCTAGCTTATTGGATCTAAAAGCAACACAGGTAGAGAAAGTGACAGAACCTTTTTTTAATGTTTCCGATTTGTATGGCAATAAGTTTTACCGATCAAGGAGTTAAAGCAGTTTTTGCTAGTTTTGATCGACTACTGTAAACATGGTAGATTATGAAAAACATCAGGTTAAAGTTTTCGTTTTGAACAATCTTAATTATTTATTTTAAGGTATACTTAGCTTTGATACTTACTATCGTCTATTAAATGGTGTAAATATAAGTCAGATTGTCAAATTTCGGGTTATCAGATTTAGTAAATCGTAAGTTATACTCTGATACACAAATTACTGGTTAATTATCCTTTCAAGATATTTGTAGAAGTAAAATATTGTTATTTTGAATACTCCCCAAATAGTTAAATCAGGCAGGACTAGTTATATAATTACTTAATATAAAGTTGTTCTTGATCTCAATAAATCCATTGGTTTCATCAAGATATAGCTTACAAGAAAACACTAAATAAATCAAATTTATTAAAATTCTTTATGATCGTTTCTGTAACTAGGTTGCCGCTTTTGGTTTATTCCAACAAATTGATTTGATAATAACAGTTGCATCTACTGGTGATCCTGGTTATGGAGCAGATGGAAATTTTTATCCACTAGGAGTTCAATTAAAATTCCAAGTGCTTGCAAATGGAAAGCCAAATAATGTGGCTAATATCACTTATTCAATTATAAATAAAACTAATAATCTCATTCTGGACTCAGGAACTGTTTGGAATAATTATTTTTTCTACACATTTACTAAGGTAGGTTTCAATGGATAAAGTACATAGCAAGTACATATGAATTTTTCGATGAGTATTTACTAGAATACACGTTAGTTTGAAATTCGGCCATTTTGTTGATTATCAAAATAAACTTTGCATGTTTTATAAGGGCCATAGTTTCCTGTAGAATTAAGGTTTTTTTAAGATTGAAATAAAGTCGGCAAATGGTTGGCTGTCGAAATCCACTAATAGATGAAGTAACTATGTTTTGTGTGTAGTTATGAACAGTCCTTTCTCCTATGCACCAAATTGTCGCCATCCGACAATATCTATAGGATTGGCAGCCTGCTTGAATTTCTGGGCTACCTGTTTCTGTTATCTAGATATTTCATCAAGTTACCTGGGTTTTTAAACACATCATTATGTCTATTAATCGCATAACCTGTTCAGGTGCGTTTATGAAAAGTTTACGATCTTTCGCTATACAAAAAATCCCAATCAGAGACATCGTGATTGTTAGCATTATGCGTTGAAAAGAATGTTCACTATTCAGATGTCGATTTTTGAACTCTTAACATCTAATTGGCGATCACTCAATATTTAACGTCAGGATCGATCAAGAAATGAGAAATACTTTGTGCTGAGAATTCTATATTGTACCAAAAATATAATACTGAGTAAAGCTAATAATAACAATAACAATCTGTTATTAAAAAGTCACTTAACTACTTAGAGTAGTCATGTAAAAAGATTGGTGTTGTCACTAATTCTAGAGAAATCATGTTCATAGATTAAAGAGACCGCATTATTATTTCAGTACGGTGAAGTCCTGTAAGTAAAGAAGTTTCTTGTGTGATCACATTCAGATAACTGTTGATTACATTATGACACTCTGGCATCTTAAATTTTTTTTAAATATCTAGTCTGTCTTGTATCTGTGTGTTAATTTATGAATACAGCTTTTATTAAGAGGAATTACAATGAAATACCGAAAAGTAATTAGTCGGTATTATCAATAGAATGAATAATCAATTAAGTGAAAAATCTTCCTAATTATTTAATCTGATCGTAATCCTGAAATGTGGGTTTCGATTCTTCAGATTTACTCAAACTAATACCAGATTATTTCAAAGGTTAAAACTACCTTTCCAGTGAATCCCATGCAGAACATGATCTGAACATATGAATTATTAACATTAATAAGATTAAAAACTAACTGACCAGGGTCAACATCCATAAGGACTAAAGCATTGGCGCATTTGAGTACGTTGAGAAACAGTTGCATTGCTGGAATTTCACTCTGATAGTATATTCAAATGATTTAATGGAACTATCGGTTCACATTAAACGACTATGTACTGGAACAAACATGGATATAGGATAATTGTAGCATGATGATTACTGAGTTTTAATGAGCAAAGCTAAATATTTACTTGTAAGTAATTCTGATGCATGATGATGGATTTCGTTGACCTCGGAATTCGTAGAACTGAACATACCAGGCTTTATTGCTTTATTGCAATCACTTATAACAAGAAAGTTAATCAACAGTTAGACAAGTCTATACACTTGTGTGATGTTGACACACTTCCTAATCGATTACATTTCCGTTCAATACACTATACCTCATGGTTATGAAGATTATTAAAATTCATTCATTTTTGGCGCTTTTGGTTTGTCGCTCTCTAAACCTGTATATAAGTATGTGAATCAGCTATTGGATAGTGGTCGCTACTATTCGGACTCTGGGAATTCTTTTCGCAGTTAATCACCAGCACTACAAAACGTGAAAATTCTTCACATGGTCTCTTGAGTATTGACGTTTTGATTTCCAATATGCTATCAAAAATACCTTATACTGTTCTATTGTAGTGCTCCGTAACAAGATAAATAATTGATTAAAGCTTATTCAGCTTTCGGTGACTTCCGAATTGAAATATATTTTTTCAACCAAGTTACTGTCTGAAGGTTTTAGCTCATTTTAATGTTAGTTCAGATAGAGAATCAAACAACATTAATTAGTCATAAGTGACGAAACTAATTTGCTTGGAACCAGGCGATCCAAAATTCATGCACATTGTAAATCGTATCTTATCAAGAATATTATCCACTGACAATAGAAGTCCGTTTAAACCATTTATTTAGTACGTTTTTGAAATGAGATTAGTATGAAGTTAGTTTCACTACAAAAATTATCAGTAATCATGCTACATTTGCTTTGCTTTTTTTGCACTATATTAAGTGTTTTCGACAAAATATTCTGTAGAAACTCAATAGTTGATATTTCCTATTTGCCTATTTGCCGATTAATGATGTAAGCTAGTATTTCTCTAGTATTATCGTTAATCATTTATTATAACTTCTAATCTGATTTTTCTCACAAGTTACCATTGAGAGGTCTAAAAGACTTTCCTTTTCCATGATAGGTTATAGTTCATTACGATTTATGTTTAGTTGCAGTTTAAACGATTGAAATTATTTGAAAGAATATTTGTAAAACGAATCGACTTCAACAATGATAATAGAACGATTTTTTCTTTCACTTACTAACATTTTTAATTGTTTTTAAAATTTAGTTTGGAGAATATAATATTGTAGTACTGGCTTCAAATCCAGTGAGCGCGAAATCAACTTCAAAAGAAATTTCAATTAGGACTTCCATACGTGGATTAAAAGCTTATCTCGTCGGTAATGGTATGTTGGAACCAAATCAACAAGGTATAATACGTATTTCATTTGAAGCCTATCCAAACGATGCGTGTTTGTGCGTAGAAAAATCAGATGGAGTTGGTCCAGTTTATTATCCGAAATTAACAGATCCAACATCTTTCTGTTCATTATGTCCCAGTTACTTACGTTTGCAAGATGCACCAGTCAATCTGACATTCTCATTAAGTGTTCAATATGGTTCAAGCGGACCTCAGTATGTGTCTATCCAGGCTATTAGTGCGTCGGAAATAGTCGATACTAAATTATATATCCCTGTTACATTTTCAACGTGTCCTCCACCTAAAATATCTATGTCGAATGCATCATCACAATCAACAACTTATCCAATTAAAGCAATTACCTCCGAAATTATAAATATTGAAGCAATACTTACTGTACCAGATTGTTTGTTATCAGTACCAAATGAGAAACTATGGACTTTATACTCCATTGATTTAGATACTACACAAACATTAGGACCAATCTCATTATCTCAAGAACTTAGTTCCAAAACACTAAGACTTGGTTTACCTGCTAATTTTCTTTCACCCGGGCCATACAAAGCTACGTGTTCAGCGTATTTTACTCCACCTCAAGGAGTACCATATATTGTCTCAGAAAGCGCATATATAATAGTTGTCCCACCACCATTATTAGTTCAGTTCGATGTGGGTAATCCGATCAGTAAGACAATCGATTTATCTATTAATGAGATATGCTTAAAACCTGAGGTTTATTCGCTTGATCCTGCCATGAATAATGTAAACGTTCCACAGGTATGTCATATATTTTCATTGTAAAATTCAGTTATTTTGACTAAACAGTTATACAATATTGTTAGATTTCACAGATGATTCAGTCTCAAAAAAGAAACTATGAAGTAATAACTTATTAGACAAAATAATTGACTTATCTCCATGATCTCTATGATAAAATGTATGCTTAAGTTAAGAAATCAAATACTTTGTATATAAGTTAGATTCAATTTGCAGTATAAAAAATTGTTACCGTTGAACTGAGCAAACGCGTTTTTATTTCTAAACCATAATGAAATTCATCAATTATGAGTGAAAATGTGATTGACTTCAGGTGTTCTGGGACATTGATCTAGATAACATAAAAGGTTTCAATGGGTCTAACTGATTCGAAACTTTGTTTGTTTTCATTTTAGTAACCCTATAATTATAAACAGTCATGTCCAGATGAGAGACAAGTATGAATAATGAAAAGCTTAGGAATGTGAGTTTACATCATAACTCTTCAACTAAACAGCGAATTATGCTTGAATTCAAATTTTCATTGGCCACCATGGAAATAAAATGTTCTTATTGTTTGACTGATTTGTAGTTGTTTGTTAAGAGTCTCGAACAAACAAAATTCTCATTCAGATGAATGGTCACTCTTTACTTCAGGTGAAAACAATCTACTGTTAATTGGCTTTCTAGTAATTTCGTTGGTCTATGGTATGTGTTTATCTTAGATAGTTTTGACAACTTGGGTGTTTCTTAAATACCTTCGAGATTGCAGTTTGATTATACCATTAAAAAAAGACATGACTGAAAACAAGTGAAGTTAGGTCAGTCTACTACTTGCAAATGACTACATATATAATTAGTCAATCAAACTGATAAGAAGCATATTTCATTGTAGTGAAATTATTCATTCTGAGCTAGACACCGAGTGATGAGCAGAGAAAAAAACTCTTATTTAAATATTTGAAATACTGTTAATAGATATAGGGAACTCATGTTTGAAGCCGATAGTCAGTTCAATGAAAGCGGGAATTGTTATGATGAGTGGTGTCCGAGATCTGATACTGACGTGCTACGCACTAACACCTCAATCGACTATTTAAGCTAGAACAAAAGAGTGGATGAGAAAGTGTATTGGGCTGCACAAATACTTATATATATATATATATCCATTTCTTAGCCAGTGATATGCACTTGTCTTTCAGGCCACTTCTGATTACCGTCCATTTACATTCTGATTGGCTCACCATATGAGTAATCTAGATTAAAGCCACACTGTAAGTATATGTCGCTATTTGTTCCTTTAATTACCCTTCCTCTCCCTAATAATTTAGTCTCGTTCTCTAATGAATTTTAGTCTAACATATTCATCCAAACGCTATAGAACTCTAACGATGTTTGAAATCATATGATTTTGTTCTCTTTTTATCCACATTCTATGTATTCAGATGTGGGTATTATTACTTTCATGGTGAATGGTCAAATCATTAGATCTCTTGAATTTCACATCATCAATCTATGATGAAATAGTTATAAAACACAGCCCTTATATTACTTTTTCTAGGGTATCGGATCTTGGATATGGTATTGCAGGCAAGTCGGTGAAGAATTGTCAGGAAAGTTGATTTTGCCCAAACCTCCGGGTTATCAATACAATGCATACTATACTGGTTGCTTTGGTGATGGTCCAGGAGTAATTGATACAAATAATGGTACTTTGTGCTTTACAACGGAAAACTTTAGAATAAATAAAACATATGAAGTTACAGTCATCGGCAGTAAACCACCCAAACGGATTGGAAAAGCTACAATGCAACTGTTGACTACAAATGAAGTAGCCCCAATCTTTACAATAAGGCATGTTTTTGATCACTGGAATAAAATTAACTTTTTTCACTAGCATACAATGAAGTTCTGTTAATGTCGCTAAAAAAATTAATAAAACAAAGTTTTCAGAAAAGTGACTTCAGCTAAAGATGCTAGGGAAAAACCAGAACATGATATAAAGTTTTTCAGTTTGCTCCTGTGATTGAATATTTACCTAATCTATAATAAACGGTGATCTTTGAAATTAACTTTAAAAATGGGATTACAGAGTTAAAAGCGATAATTATCGACTGTCAAGTTAAATTATCATCAATTTGAAGTTAAAAAACGTAGGTGAAGAGTTCGTGATGGATATTTAAACGTGAAACAAGACTGGTAGTTCTCTTTAGTTATGCAACATAACCAACATCTGAGTCATGAATTTCGGCTTACTTGTATAGGTATGAGGTACTAGTGCAGCAAACCAAAGTTAATAGTTTCGACCAATCGGTATTAGTTACTGAAACATATCTAACTTAGCTGAAATGAAATCCCACTAAGCTTTATCGGACTCTTTCGGCTTCTCGTAACACTAAACTCATTTGTTATAAAAATTTGATATTACCATTTTCTGGAGGCTTTCTTTTCAAGGTGACTATAATTTTAAATCTAATATGGTGTATACAGTTGTGGACAAGTTCTAGTTTGTAATAGTTTTCCGGTACTGATTAAACTGAAAGTAAGAAAACACATTGGAAGATAGAAAATGTTTGATGTGCAATCCCTTATGCTTTTTAGCTTGTTTGGAAGTCTTGGGTGCATTTAGTCTATCATTTCAAGCGATCATTCGGCCCTACTTCCTAATAAGTTTAATAAAAAAACAATAGACACCTGTCCGACAACCTTGTCTTCAAGTGGTTCCAAAGTTATTTGGATTAATGATTAGAGTAAATATGTATATCTAACTATTAAATTGCAGACACCCATTGAAACGTATTTGTGGGTTCTATCAAAGTTAACAGTGCATACTTGTATTTCATGAAAGGTTTTATCATTATAGATAATTAAAATATTGTACATTTGAAATTTGTGTTTATTCTTAAGTGAATAAAATGGTGATTTAAAGAAAATTTCTCTTTCATCATATTTATTTTTGATCATCTGAAAATTGAATTCTTTTGGAATGATATGACAGTCTGACGACAGACATCTTATTCGGACAATTTAGATCAACTATAAAACGAAAGGAGAATTTGAATACAATGTTCTAACTACTGAAACACACCTTAAAATGCACTTGTTTTCTATGTTTTGTGAAAAACTACAGTCAGTTAACAACCTTTCTCATTTACATTTCTTACTTAAACACAATTATAGATGCAGCATACTTATCTGTGCTACAATCTAGGATTTGACTCGTCAAATTTAACCAGTTTGGTTCATTCCTGAATCAGATGATCTTTATGTAACAGTTTTCATAGAGTTTGGAACCCTAAGCCCTGATATGAGATTTAAATGGAATATTAGAGAAATGCATTCAGATGGCACACTTTTACCATTCGATCAAGTTCAACAAGATACATACACAGAAGGTAAGTAGGAAAATTAAATTTCTCTCAGTTACTAGATAATTATTTTTGACCTTACCAGATTAAAAATAACCATTCAGTAATTTTTAGAAACACCGATTGCCTCAGAATAATTTGAATAAAGACTAAAACCAAAGAGCATTATATCCCTATGATAAATTTGGATAATTCAATGAGAAGGTGAAGATTATCAGAACTATATAGTTCCTTCTTTTAAGTTGTAATGTGCTTTTCAAATAAAATAGGTATCTCATGTTTTACTCTATAAATAAATAGGTATATTTAAATAAAATTTCCCTGAAGTGTTCAAGAGTCTACGATTTGAAGCCTGTTCTATTTACTAGCTTCAATTTTTGCTACTTCATTGTTACCATGCCTTATTGTTTTCTGTTTTATCTAAACAGGGACATTTACATCATCATGGCGAATAAAAAAAGGGTATTTCATCAATAAGTCAAATGATGTCAAAGGATGTATTGTATGTGCTACCTTAACTAAAAATACTGACATGGGAACATCTTGTTTACGATTCAAATATTTGCCAAGACCCACACCGGGTATATGTACATATACTTTAAACGATACAAATATGTGTGTAAACTGCGTAAACTTCACTAGTATTGTTAGTCCACTGACATATACATTCTTTCGTAAGTCATTGTTTTTATGATTTAATAAATACTTTATCAATAATATTCGCTAAATTTTTTAACAATTCTTTTCAAGCATTTCATGCTTATCAAAGGATTATTTACGCACTGATTTGAACTTTCTCACACCTATGAACCGTAATCTGTTTGCTAACAACAACTAAATGACCATTAGAAAATCAGCTGTCAGATGAATATAGGAAAATTGACTGACTTCTACTGAAAGATTCGGAATTCCAATATTTTAAAGTAAACCGAATTGAGAGAACAAAAGAAAAGTATAAAGGGATTCACTGAGAAAATTGTAGCATCAACCACAGGACACTGTCCTTCTAAAGAATTAATAATCTATAATTATTTGAAAATGGTTTTCAATAGATAAGGAAACTCCAGCGTGATACACGTGGTATGAAATCTCAGTCTGGTATAATTTATCTTAGACAATGGTAAAGAAATTTTTGTTATCAATATAATCCCAATAGCAGTAGGAGTATGAAGAAAGTAAGGGATTTTATTGTTACGTAATTTATAACCAACTTTTCATGAATTTACGTAAATTTTTATTTTCCAAGACAAAATAACCTGATTATGAAAAGTTTAAGTCTTAAATCAGTGTCCTATATCACTCTTTTTTTCTTTTGGAAATGGTCAATATTTATATAAATAATCGATGACAGTTATTAAAAAAGAGGGAACTAGTACACATTGTTGACTTTTTAATTCAACTATCTTTTACCAGAAACTTAAATGGTAACTAATCTCTTAGTTTTAAATTTAGATGGTAGAAATATTTTGTAGTTAAGAGTAAAGATAATCATGTTTTTGTGTTTTTAAGTCATGATGTTTGATTAAGTCCATGACTACTTTCACTAGTTAGTCGGTGAGTTATAAATACTGACACATTTTAAAAACATTCATCAATGAAATATTTGAACTCCTCGCTAATCATTCTTTACAGAATTATTGTTAACTGAATATTTACACTTTTTAAGAGTATAACTGAAAGTTATTTAGTAGTTGAATCATCCATGAAATCCAAGAATGAGAAATATTTCATCATAACATTAAATATATGTTTCTTCAATAATTTATAGTTGCTATGATAATGAATTTTCTTTATCAAAGATGTCCATGGTTATAATAAGTTAATGTACTGAAAAATACAATTTTACACACTTATATCAGGAGTAGAATATTTGTTTTGGTCTCTTCCAAGTTTAGTTTGACGACTGAACTCCTTTCACTAATGAAAGATGTTTACGAAATTTGATAGAATATTAGATTATTGGTAGTTGCATTTATGAGGAAACCCTTAAATAAGTGATTTTACAAACATATGATAGTTCTCCACTTTATCTATTTATTACCACTGATAGTCAAATCACGTTTAACAACCAATAGTTGGATTCCAGTGTTAGTGAAACACTATAAGAGTTTAACATAGAAAAAATTATTGCAAAATTAATTATTTCACTTATTTTTCAAATATTATACTTATTTGATATATTCTTCAACAATCTTATTTACTAGTTACGAATTCATCCATCAAAATTGCTCTTGCAAGTGAAAATCTTCCTAAAACGTGTTTCGTTGTACCTTATATGTACAGTCCACTAGATGCTTGTGTCTATGTTTCTGATAAATTTGGGGGTTCAATAGAAGTATGCTATGCGAATATATTCGTAAGTTTTTATTTATTGATTGATTCTTCCCTTTTAATGATGCATTTCATTGATAAACAAAAAAACTAGTAACCATGTTTACGAAAAATTAACCAGGTAATCAATGTTTCAGGGTCACGATTGACGAGCATAGTTAATTATCTGACTGTTCATAATGCATCACATTTCGAACATTAAGAAGTATTTTTATGTACATTCTCAGAGTCCAATATATAAATGAAAAAGTCGCAAAGATATCTTTTGAACTTTACATCTAAAACTACTAAGTAGAAACAATCACATCTCACTTTCTACAAACATTTGAGTATCTATAAAACTCCACCAATATCTATAAAAACATTGTGTGTTTACCAGGCTTCTTTATAAAATTGATAATATACTGTGAATAATCTAAGTTTATACGTCGAAGAAACATGTAAAATGTACCTGAATGAATTAAAAGATCAAAGTGCTCTTTTAGAATAAGAAATTATTGGCTTCATAAGTTAATACTGGTAGAAAGACTTTCTAGTTAAATAGAACTTAACCAATATTTCTTTATAACGAGAGCTCTAATGATTACCTGCCCATCACTTTTAATGCATCAAGACCATAAGTTATATGCTTCATAACTAACATGAAACTCTTTGGATTTCGTGAAGGCAGATAGAACTATCAACAAAACTATAGTGAAGATGAAAATACAGTTCAAGAGGTTCAGCATGCCGGTAGTGATCAAAATTTAAATCAAAACTGTCATTTGTTCCTTTTGCTTTGGGTTTCGACCTACAACTACTATTCTTACTGTCACTAGGAATGTCATAGAAAGCATCGGTTAACATTTTTTTGCTTTTAGGTCCAAGCGAAATCACTGGATCTTATGCGCGCCGCAATACAATCACTTGCAGAAGACAAAAAGCCGAATTAAACAGATTGGTTGTTACTGGACAGTTGACAGAAAGTGCTGATCTAGTTACCAGTTATGCATCTGCTGTGCAGATGTTCTCTACTCTTGAAACTCGGAGTAAGTATAAACTGTAATAAACACTATTCACTCGACGAGTTGTGTTAATCAGGCTCAAAACTTCACACCCTTATTCTGTTCTAATGAAGGTATAATTTTTGAATCGATAACTTTAGATGACGACAACGAATAGGTGCAGATTCTCTTATTAATTTTATCTTAGTTTAAATTCCAATGAATGAACATTTCAGCATCCAACCAGAAATAGTTAACCCAGTGTGGAACACCTGGAAATATCCTACTTGGTTTTTGATTAATTTTTAAGTGTAGGAGAACACTTGAATCGAGATGCCCCACAGCTACTATAAGCCCATTCCAGTTTGTCGTGTAAATTTAAATAAATACGAGCAACAAAATGTTTATCTTACCGACTGTGCGACACCTCGCTGTTTGGTAAATCAGCCAAGCAAACTAAAATAAGACTAAACTCTACCAGACTATTCAAGTTTTACCTTCTGTGAATTCACTAAAGTAGTAGAGAGTGTAAATGTCGTAAGGAGGCAGCTGTGTCATAACAAAACTTTTGTATCAAAACAGGGTTTGTCTATGATCACTGTTATCTGAGACAATTCAAGTTTGACAATAATTATATGGATAAATAACTGATAAATGGAAAACCAAAACGTTATTACTTATCATATAAATCATAAACTGTCAAAGCAAGCGAGGCTTAGGAATGACCTTTTTATAGTTGTTGGTTCCATAGTAATACTAATCTCAAATTTTATACACAAAGGGCAAAAGAAACCAATTGGATCATTAAAAAGAATGAGACGGATCAGAGAAAAAGAAATTTTCTTTTCAACGGTGTTATTCACCAAAGCTACATAATCGAATTCTTAGTCGTTTAACTTATTTTAATAAATAATGTTATAGAATAGATGTTATGTTACCAGCAAAGCAATATTTAGACATAAGTTTCAGAAGCAACATGTGATCCTTCAGCTTTACATAAATAATTCCCCAAAATTTTCTAAAAAGACAGAAAATTCTGTATCACCGAGACTTTCTGAATATGTTCACTTGAGCAAACTTAACTGGTCACAACCTCTATCGCAATATTCTAAATTCAATCAGAGTATGCAATCAGTGAATAATTCATTGATTAAACAGGCCATTATTTCACTTCTGTAGAAGCTATGAGTACGGGTTTCTTTCAAAAAACATATTTAGAGTCTAAAACATTCAAGACTGTACTTCGGTTTTTGTATAACAGTATACGGTTCAATAATTGTTTCTGTTTTTGTTCACCTTTTTCAGACTCCGCTGGTGCAAATAATGTAAGTTATATTTTATGAATAAAATGATTTGTAATATCAACCTAAAGAATAATTATTTACTTATCATCATCTATAATGCATGATAAATTGGACATCTCAGCTAGCTGTGTTAATTGTAGGCATAGGTTAATGAAAACATCAAATTCTTTATATCATTCACTTAATTGTATTAGAATGATGTGATAGAAGAGTGTAATCCAATAAAATTGCTAAAATGAATATGTTAACTCCCGATAATTTTCTGGTTAATCAACAATGATTTACTTCAGAGATCACAATTATGCGTTCGGCAATTTAATTAACAAATAATTGTATTTCGTGCATCAACAAATAGAATATCTTGGTGACTCGATAATTGTGTTTTCAGTTTTCAATTCTATCCCTGTAGTTTGGTTTTAATGAGTGCTTTAAGTCAGACAACAACAAGCCTTCTAAATAAGTCTCGTTTTAATTAAATTTTATCAAGCTTGAGGAAACTTTGCTCTTATAGATATTTAAAGCTGGTTCTTAAATGCATTTAATGATACGCGCTATGCAGCTGACCGTCACTGACATAGTAGTATGGTTGATTCAGTCTTGGCATTACTAAATCAATAAAGCTTAATCAGCATTAAGGATTTGTGACAGGCTTTAGTTACCACATGAATATTTTGAATAAAATCATATCTTACAGAAAAAAAATGTCGCCCAAACAAATCAGAGGCATATATTCTATTTGTAATCAATCTTTAATTTGTTTAAGTGTATCAAACCAGTATTATTCTGTTCAGTTTAGGTGGTGAGATATGGTTGGGTGTTTAGGATGAATCCAACGAGATTGATCAATAATAATTCAGGAGACAAATTACAGAAATACGTGCCTGAATGTTTATAACCAAATAAAGTGTCTCCATTTACTTTACTCATATCATTTATTGCCCTTCCGTTTTCGATATTAAATATGTTATCATCTTCGGTCTTATTTGAACTGATTTTCTCAGTAGATATGGGTTATAAAATCCTATTTATTTGAAAGAAATGTAGCTAAGCCTCATAGCTAATAAATGTTAATTTGTGAAATGTTTCACCAAACAATATGGTTGGTTTTACATTCTAGTAAAAACTCGAATTAAAATGAAATTTTTCCAATACTCCTTAAAGTAAAAATTATGAACTATTTATTTCTCTGAACAGTAAGTAGGCTAACGAGAGATTTTCGTTATTTCAGCTTGTGATATATTCTTCCCTTTATAAAGTAATCAGTTGAACATTCGATACAACAGTTGGCGTATATCTTTCAATCAATGGGATTGTTTAGTGTAATGAATCTAATAAATATCTGTATTTCACTATTTTGTAACTTGAAAAAAATAATTTAATATTTTTCAATCTGATTAATTAGTCAAGTTACTTCTATGTATGTGAGCGTTTGTCTAATTCTTTGAGATCTATTCAGTTCTAATATGATCATGATACTCATCATGACAATGTTGATTATACTATCAAATGTCCCTATGTTTTTCATCCCCCAATTTTTTTTACTAATTTTACGTTCTTTGGAAGAAAGTCTAGTAGCTTCATCTCACTAAAATTGTGTATCCACATGAAAAGCTGTGATCAAGACTTAAAACAATTCGAATTCGAGCCTTTTGTCAAAATGCAGTTCCACAAATATCCATCATAAGAGTGTGTAAATGAAAGACAAAACTTTTTGTTAGTTAATTTTTCTCCAGCCAAATTATTCAGATTATAATTGATTTCCTCTGTTAAGCGTTTATTCTTTTTATCTATTGTATGTAGGCAGGCAACGGTGAGCAAACAGGTTGAATTATACAAACAACGTCTATCTTGCTTTCAGTGGTGTTTAGGACCTCAGTGTATATTTTACCATAATAAGTAAATCTAAGTCTCGAAGAAGGTATATATATATATATCATATTTAGAACTACGGTTTTATTTCATAACGCAAAATTCTGAAACACCGAACGTGTTAACTACACAGTAATTTTTATTAGATTCTTCTATGAATAATATATAATAACCTCAGTTTATCTTCTTACAGACCCCAGATGCAATTTTAAATCGTGATTTACGTTCTAAGGTAAGTGATATTAAAATGTCAGGCTGACTTAAATTATCAGTATTTAGAACTCTGTAATCCGATTACTAATTAAGGATGATGTATTCTGTGATAATGTTCTCTGAAATTTGGTTGTTATAGCATCTATTTCAGTTCCATGTTAAACCTAGAATTTTTGGTCAGAACACATTGATGATTATAAAATATCTATTTATTAACAACACTGGTAAAATGAATAATCTGATTATAATACATTTCAGTGAAAATTGATTAGTAACGCTTATTTAGCAAATTAATAAGATCGAATTTACTGTAATAAAATGAATGCAGATTTATACGTCAGGCCATCAGTCACGGTTTTCACAAGCCGGTTAAGAAAATTGTGGGGAGGACGATAAGATCTACAAGCCTGTTAGATACCCTCAAGAGACTATAACTCTCTATCTGAGGGCTTGTGTATATGTGTTTCATGGATTTTCTTTGTTTTCTTTGTGGAATGCATATTTCTTATTCCTTAAGAAATCAGGGGGAACATGATCAATTTTGGATATCGCTAAAATGAGTCTGAACGACCATAGAATCTAGTTCTGGAATAAATGATAGATAACAGAAATAACTCATTGTCATTGATGAATATATTTAAGAATAATACTCTATATGAAGTCGAATCTGCTTCCGTTTTCTCTTTTGAAACTATTTCACCTAATTCATCTTATATGGTTGAACTTACCACTAAAGTTTGAATTTGGTCATTTATGATTAACTGATAATATATTTCAACAGATTAGTCTTGGGCGGAAGGAAATAACTTTTATATTCCTCATTTCTATGTAACATAATCTGAGCACAATAGAAGATACTATTAAAACATATGTAATGAACCCATTTAATCCATTCGATCTATGAGAATCAACAATTATAAAGTTTTACCAGCAGTGAACAGTATTTGAAGAAACCGTGTTTACAAGTGATCATACATAGGGAACTATTTTGATGGAAAGTATTGATTAAACAAGTTTAGCAGATACTTTCCATGAAAAGATATGTTTTCAATAAAATATGCTAACAGTTTTTGACTCATTTATGTAAATGAAAACTGAAGTTTTGATCTGACAAGTGTTGGAACCATTAATTTTTTGGTGGAGTATACGCTATTATAGTCCAAACCCTAATTTAACATTTAGCAGTCACCCCACTTATTCTGAGTTAAAGAGCTTCTAACAATTAGAAATGAAATGGTCGTGACTTCTCATAGGCATTTCGGGAGATGCATCTTGAAGCCAGTCATTAGTGAGTGTATGATTATTATCAGTGTATAGTTTTGAGATTGTGGAATTTTCAAAGTTTAAAGCACTAACTGATCTTAGCTCGGCAATTATCAAAAATCAGGAATCACTGGATAGCTATCTCGTTCTGGTGTGACGATTCTCCATGTCGGGTGTGATACATTTATCCATCAAAGACTATGAAAGATGGTCGAGGAATATCGTGAGTTGGCTAAAGTCCGACACATACATCACTGATTGCCGGCTAAGTGCTTTAGAGATTAATCCTTCTTACGCGAGACCGAAAATCCTGAGTTTAATTTCCTGTAGCGAGGTCGTGGTTACTCACTGTTGAGGTGTTCCATACTAGGGCAAGATAACTGTCTAGTGATTCCTAGTTTCCAACGGTAAGATCAGTTTACGATTTAAACCATGAAAATCCTACAATCTCCCAAAACTCTGTACCGATTATACTGATTACACACATTTTCATTGAAAAAGAAATAAAATGGTTAAACAACGTTCTTTGACAACATAAAAGGCATTTCTGAATGTAGCAGATTCATAAAAGTACAATGTTTCGTTTCTCATGTAAATATTTTTTGTAATACAAATCATTAAAGATATTCCTCTTCATGTAATACTCTAGAAATCAATTGTAACTTCGTCACAATTGAAGTTAGAACAAGGTTGCTTACTTAAATGAGATGTAATGAGTTTCGGAACTACAATTTAATTGTCGAAAATATAATTCCGAAACTCATAAGATATAATGCTACATAACTGCATTATTTAATAATGTATTATCGGTATTTGTCTGATTGCTTTTGGATTGCAGACTGGTGAATGTTGAAAATAATTACTTCATGGAATGATCCCTCTCAGTACTTCACTGTCCTTTAGATTTAAGTTATATCACCCTCAATCATTTATGAGCACAATCTTTTTTCAATAATCATTGACTTTTATTCCAGAAACTAGTATTTCTAACTTCAGTCATGTGTATCAATCTAGATAGTAATTTTACCGAAATATTTTACTTTTCTGGTGATATCCACTGTGAATCAATAACAACTTTATAAGAATCTCCAGTCTGTCAAATTCATTGTTTGGTTTTAAGAATTAAAACTTTTATACTTAGATCTTAATTCTTTCTAGTTTTTCTTTGTCTTCATTTACTGAATAGGTTATTCAAATGCTGGTAAATATTGTAAACAATTTTATACCGACTGATTCAAATTCATTCATCTTAGCAATGTCATGCACTGAGAATATACTTAGCAATATCTTGGACGTGGATAGAAGTTCTCAGTCAAATTAAACACATACCTTACTAAAGTAACTGAATCTCTAGAAGCAATTGTTTGTGATAATACAGACCATTTGTTAACAATGACCTCAACTATATTTCAATCAGCGCTTCTTTTAGCTGATGTAAGTCCTAAATTACTTTTTAGTACATTTCCAATTAAAAATTATCTTTTGCTGGATCATAATTTTTTTAACAATCACCTGAAAATAAACAGTGATGCACTAAAACCAAATTCTTTTGATAGATGTCTATTTTACACGGATTGTGTTTGACGAGTCTTTTGTTATTATCTGTTATGAATGAAGGTCAAGCGGTGAGATTATTTTGTATAACAAATAAATTACAAAATATGGCTTATTGCCCATCAGTAATTTCTTAGTGTTACACAGTGTCATCTAATACTGATACGTAACATTTATAAAAAGATGCCTTGGTAACAGAATAAATTTCATAGTCTGTATTGATTATATATATATAATGGTAAATTTGTGTTCTTTATAGAAAATAACGAATATTCACTCATCGGATAACCATAACTTTATTTTAGGCTGGAAATAGTCAGATTAATAACCCAATCTCTTTAGATATACCGACAGATCCAGCTCTACTCGATTACAATGTCGATCTCGAGAAGGCAGGTGAGTTAGTCTAAAACATTTAAAAAGTATTTAATCCTATACAATTAGTCCCGTGGATAAATCTGTATGTTATAATAAGGTGACACATTAATGCAATACAATTGGAACCGCCTGACCACATACATACGTGCTAAGATTGTAGTGAACTAGAACACCAGTGGGGACAATCGAATGTACTGAACACAAAATTACAGGACTTGTTAATAAAATCTAACAATCATAATGTAAATGCTTAATTTGCAAAATGTCCATCGATTGTCTCAAAATGACTCAGACTTCATTGTTCATTCATTTTCATACAAATTGCATTCTGTTTCCATTCGTTACTGTTCGATCCTCTTGTCTCTCTGCTGTCAAACCTTCTGTTCACGACTAACATCATATACTACTTATGTCAATATAAGTAGCACAGACTGAAAGATCATCTATACATGAAAAATGAAAGGTTACCTAGGAAAATTGAAGACAAGAGGGAACAAAGATGGTGAAGTACTGATTGTACGATCATTAAAACCCCTTTCTGTATTCAAGAACAGTTTATTCTCACCTTAGACCTACACAGCGTAGTGATTTTCACATTATTTTTTAGATTATCTTTGTTTTTAATTTGTCTAGTTGACCTTTTATTTTTCATATATAAATGTTCCTAGCAAGTATATATGTGGTCAGATTGTTCGAAATGTATTGAGCTAATACATCACATAATTCTGAGACTTATAAGTTTTGGTACTGGATTTCATATATACGTAATGATATGTATTTTTAAGTCTGAATAATACAAGATACAAGGTATTTGAATGATATTTTCTGTGTTCTGGATGGTAGATAGAAAACTGGTGAAAATTTATCAACTTACTAGCATTCTTCACAAAAGGAAACTAACTAGACCCGCTAAAATCATTTTTGAACTGAAAAAAATCTAAAAACAACCATTTAACTAAAACGCGTATTGTGGTAGTTTGTACGCGAAACAAGTTGCTTAGACGTTTATTTGGGAATTTTCATTGTATACCAACAACCAGATATTATTTCCATAATCCTGTTATCGAATAAACCCAAGAATATATTCTAATATTTGATAAATGTACAGTTGTCCTCTGAATCTTAAACTAAATTTCTTTTTTTTTGGCTAACAGGTCTACAGACATCAGGTTTGGATCCTATGAGTGATTTAATGTTGCAAAACAGTGCAGATCAACAATCATTACTGGTAGGTTTTTCGTTGGGATCATCTTAAATTAATACGAGCATGAATTTGCAATGTTTTTGATAGATTATTTCTTACTAAAAAGTCACCAGTGTTGAACAAAATGAATTATTAGTCTCACTTTCTACTCTTTATTTTCATTCTTTATTACGTGTGAAAGATGTTTGTTAGTTAATATATAGCACAAGAAAGTTGCTGGAAATCAACCGCATGCTACTCGTTTTATCTACTGAATTACATTTAATAGTACAAGTAATAAATTTTGGCACTGACATTATAACATATTGACCCATTACAATTTAGAAGTCATCAAACAATAAGAATCAGACTATTAAAGTATATTTTAACTCTCCAATTCCTTAAGTATGGGGGTAGAAACCTTGTGGAAATTCATTTAAAAACGTTTGATTCAGTCTAGACCGGATAGTGCAAAATCTTATATCAACGTATTTCATTTAGAAATTGATATGGCTACAATAAAGCGTTCTCGTCGAATATGTTTCGTTAATTAAATTTATTTTATCTTATCTATCGGATTTTGGATGAAATAGGTTGGCCAGACATTAGATATGATCCGTAATCTGATGAGCACATCACAAAAAGTCACACAAGGTTTGTTAATTGAAGGTGCATCGCCAATAACATTTCAGACGTCAAACGGTGTGATTAGTCTTTCTAAGATTCTGCCGAATAATTTGTCAAATAGAATTGCGGTATTGGATGGAAGTCAAAATGATGTTTTTGTAAACAATTTATGCAGAAACCTTCAAGCTTCAAATGAAAGTTGTTCAGAACCATATAGCCTTCAAGTGAGTTTATTAATGTGTAATATAATGGTATTTATTTTATTATGGTTTTCAATACAAGCTAATTCTAGTTATGCAATCAATGGGAATCAAGGAGCGCTATCACACCTTTCGAATATGGAACAACATAGTTCTAGATACCAATAACTCATTATTAGAATGTAATCTAAAACAGCTCACATTCTCAACAAACATGATATCGACTCAACTTCCTGACAGTTGCAGCTTCTGTTATATCTGCTGAACACCACTGTTCTGATAAACTTAAATTTAATCCCAATGATGTATTAGTTTCTGGTACAGTTATAACTGAACGACTGGTGGCGGAAAAATAAGGTATCTTAAATAATGAGTTGACATGGGTTTAAATTTTCAGTTGTATATGCAGAAGTTAATGTCCTATCAAAAAGTCTGAGAGGCACGCTTATTCTTGAGTGCTGATCAAGACTTCACGAACAAAACGTAACAAGCATACTATGGTATCCAACGATATCCAACGTTCAGTGGTCATTCAACTTCTGAAAAACAGTCTCGTTTTTTAGTAGATACATACCTAGACGTAGAACCTCGTGATGCTTACATTAGATTGCGTTTTGATTCGAAAGGTTATGTATACCTGAATAATCTTTAGTTGGACAAACTAAAGCTTAGTAAGCAGTTATGATCACAACAGAAACAACTAAACACTATTTGGAAAGGAAAGAGATGAAAATTTGATCGAAAAATATAGTTTATTAATCTTACTGTAAACATGCTGACGGTTAGTGACAGATAAACAACACCGACTACTTCTACAAACTGATTCTATATAAAAACGACAAGATGCGGTGAATCATAAGAGTATAATCTCCCAGACATTCTCAAGCTTGACAATTGTTGTAACCACATAGTATAAGACTTATGTTTAAGAGTTTGAAGAATGAACACTGAAATTCTATTTGGTTTTCAAAATACATTGAATAATGATTCCAGTTTAGTGGTATATTGTTGGAACTTTCCAGACTGCCCACAGTGCCTTGTTTTAAACTCTAAGTAGCTATCGAATAACTGACATGATTTTCACTAGCCATCTGATTTTATCAACATACATGTCAGAAAAATGAAACGATTACTGGACATTTGTTCACAGAATTTCTTATGCGATGAACAAAAAAATTTAAACCAAGTTATGCAGATAATTTAACATATTATTTATACCTAAACAATGACAATGCAGTACGAAAACTTGGCATAATGGGTTTCATATTTTAGGCAGATGAAATTAAAGTGGGAAAATGTATATTGGTAAAAGATAAAATATTGTGTCGTTAACTGTTTCATTAGAGAAGCAATAATACTGTATAATACTGTATACAACATCTCATGTCTTTTGTAGCGAAACATAAAGAGAACACTATACACTAGGAATTTTGTTGATATGTAGAAGTGGTTCTATAAATTTCATGAACTATAACAATACAGATATGTACTTACTGAATAAAGATAGGAAACACTGACCAATCGCTTATAGAATTTAACTCAAACATAACGATTTTGCCTAAAGCTCTGGCTACAAGAGATTTCATACCATCAGAAAGCAATATTTGTGTACTACAAAAAATACAACGAACAAATCCCTAACCTCCAGTTATTTTAATGACCCTTTAAGTCATGTCATGCCTTAGAGACTGTATGTCTAACATAAATAAGTTATTTAAATAAAAAAAAGTTGATTTTTGAATGATCTTTTCCCGGCAAAATAATGTATTAATTACTCATTTTAAAAAAAATACTGAGAATTCATGTATCCATATGAAAATTGGTATAGTAATTCATTTATTAATAATATTAGCTTCAATATTTACTTATGTGAGTCAAATAAGTTTAATTATAAAATCATTATTCTTATTTTTAGACATTCATATCAAAAACAAACCTGTTCTCATTTCGTGCTGGTTCATCTATACCAATCCCATTTCATACTGAGACTATTTCAATGATTTTATACAATAATAAACCAGTTATCATTAAAGATGTCAAAGAAATAGTTGAAGGAATTGTTCACAGGGTAAGTTTTTTGATTTTTTTTCTTACATGTAACACTGCTGTTTGATTAACTATTAGAGAATGCCAATATCTTTTTCGTCTGATTTAATTTTGTAAAGAGCAAGAACAATGATTCTAGCAGAATAGTATGAATTCATTTTATTTCGTTGGTTCTCGTCACCTGCTTACAACCTGTGATATTTAAAAATCATATTTACGTGATGGGTTTAAATTACTTACGTGAAAGTGTTTAGTCGGAAGTTATGTTGAAGACAAGGGTGTAAATAGATTTGCTAGACTGAATATTGTAAATATATACCTTATGTAAAGGATATATCTACGACACTGACTGTGACAACAGTTCTAACGCCTAGAAACAAGTGATTACATAATGAGTAAACGCTGATAGGAATAAAATGAGTGAAGCTCAGTTAATAAATAAGATTACTAATCTAAAAGATTGATGAAATGAAAACTCAATAATATAATAAATACAAGAATAAGTTTAAAAAAAGGTTTAGGATGCAACGAAGGAATATTTGTCATCAAGATAAGGAAAGATTAATAACCATCTCCTTTTGAACGCATGCGCCAGGTTTTTGATGCCTGATAGTAACGGCTTCAGCAAACTTCAGAAGACTGGAGTTTGGCTGCTTATTAATCAACCTGAAAGATTGCAAGGTATCGACCAAATTCCTGTATCAAGAAGATATTTAGTAATTGCACTGTTTAGAGTCTTACTTTCCCTTGCTCTGAGGCTTTTTGGAACATCCTCAAAAAATATTATCAGAATTTTTATCTTCTAGTTTGTATGATAAACGGACTAGATATCGGTAGTTACACCGAGTAAATAAAATACCAATCTATAAAGAATAAATTCTGTAAAGTATTTCAATAGATTATAAACTACTATACGTCTTATGTGTAGTTCAATTTGTATAAGTAATTTATTTGATTTTTGTATAAAAATTGTGAACATTCGTTAATAACTAATCAGAGAGATTGTATTTACTTTTAACAACTATCATTTTAATTTGGTCTTTCTCCTAAGTTATTAAATTTTAAACAACCAACCTTTACAAGTATGGATCCAGGAACAAATCGACCTCAACTACCAGCTGCACGAATAGCTGTGGATAAAACAGAAATTTATCAAGCTCTTTTGATGAGTCATCAGGTAGTACCAGATGATGTAGCTGTATTTTTCCAGTTGTACCCTGAAAATATTTCTGAATGTCCACAATATTTACTGTTTCTAAGGTAAGAATTGATAAAATTTAATTTGTAAAAATAATTGTATCACTGAGGTGACTGATATGGTCAATGGTCATAGTATGATGAAATCTGCCACATTTTAGTGCTTTTCATTGTCCAGAATTCACCAATTCGATAGTGCAACATGGTAACCGGGTTGTGACATTATTATTATTATTATTATTATTATTATTATTATTATTATTATGTGGTGTTGAAAGATGCAGTGCTACATTCGGTTTGGATACTGACTAACTTTCCTAATAATAAACATTACTGACTCTGAGATCTATAACTATTCAAAGAGTTACGCATATCAGTAACTGAGATCAGTGCTAAATAAATTTTATCAGTCGCATTTGTAATATAATTACTAAGTAACGTAGCTCAATATTACTGTTGATTCTATTTCGGATTGAAATATAGAAAACTAATAAAATTCTACAGATTAAAGATTTACACCTGCTGGTATTCAAATTTTAAATGTGTGCATTAAGTTAACTTCAACACGAAATTGTACACGCTAATTTTTGCTGTGAATGTAGCATAATTGTATTTGATAGTTACGTACTTTGTGAATGAGAAAATAACTGATATAAATTTCAGTTTCAGAACTAATAAAAATATATATTCTCCTAAACTTTTATGAAACGATAACTATTAGTTGATTTACAATGGGATATCATCATCATCATCATCATCATCATCATCATCATCATCATCATCATCATCATCATCATCATCATCATCATCATCATCATCATCATCATCATCATCATCATCATCATCATCATCATCATCATCATCATCATCATCATCATCATCATCATCATCATCATCATCATCATCATCATCATCATCATCATCATCATCATCATCATCATCATCATCATCATCATCATCATCATCATCATCATCATCATCATCATCATCATCATCATCATCATCATCATCATCATCATCATCATCATCATCATCATCATCATCATCATCATCATCATCATCATCATCATCATCATCATCATCATCATCATCATCATCATCATCATCATCATCATCATCATCATCATCATCATCATCATCATCATCATCATCATCATCATCATCATCATCATCATCATCATCATCATCATCATCATCATCATCATCATCATCATCATCATCATCATCATCATCATCATCATCATCATCATCATCATCATCATCATCATCATCATCATCATCATCATCATCATCATCATCATCATCATCATCATCATCATCATCATCATCATCATCATCATCATCATCATCATCATCATCATCATCATCATCATCATCATCATCATCATCATCATCATCATCATCATCATCATCATCATCATCATCATCATCATCATCATCATCATCATCATCATCATCATCATCATCATCATCATCATCATCATCATCATCATCATCATCATCATCATCATCATCATCATCATCATCATCATCATCATCATCATCATCATCATCATCATCATCATCATCATCATCATCATCATCATCATCATCATCATCATCATCATCATCATCATCATCATCATCATCATCATCATCATCATCATCATCATCATCATCATCATCATCATCATCATCATCATCATCATCATCATCATCATCATCATCATCATCATCATCATCATCATCATCATCATCATCATCATCATCATCATCATCATCATCATCATCATCATCATCATCATCATCATCATCATCATCATCATCATCATCATCATCATCATCATCATCATCATCATCATCATCATCATCATCATCATCATCATCATCATCATCATCATCATCATCATCATCATCATCATCATCATCATCATCATCATCATCATCATCATCATCATCATCATCATCATCATCATCATCATCATCATCATCATCATCATCATCATCATCATCATCATCATCATCATCATCATCATCATCATCATCATCATCATCATCATCATCATCATCATCATCATCATCATCATCATCATCATCATCATCATCATCATCATCATCATCATCATCATCATCATCATCATCATCATCATCATCATCATCATCATCATCATCATCATCATCATCATCATCATCATCATCATCATCATCATCATCATCATCATCATCATCATCATCATCATCATCATCATCATCATCATCATCATCATCATCATCATCATCATCATCATCATCATCATCATCATCATCATCATCATCATCATCATCATCATCATCATCATCATCATCATCATCATCATCATCATCATCATCATCATCATCATCATCATCATCATCATCATCATCATCATCATCATCATCATCATCATCATCATCATCATCATCATCATCATCATCATCATCATCATCATCATCATCATCATCATCATCATCATCATCATCATCATCATCATCATCATCATCATCATCATCATCATCATCATCATCATCATCATCATCATCATCATCATCATCATCATCATCATCATCATCATCATCATCATCATCATCATCATCATCATCATCATCATCATCATCATCATCATCATCATCATCATCATCATCATCATCATCATCATCATCATCATCATCATCATCATCATCATCATCATCATCATCATCATCATCATCATCATCATCATCATCATCATCATCATCATCATCATCATCATCATCATCATCACGGATTGGTCATGATAATTTTTTAAGCTTTGGGAATTTTTTGAACACACTGCATTAAAAACGAATCAAGTTGGAAGATTAAGGTCGAATGTAGAGTATAGGGCTTTGAATTGTATTTATACCTGCTATGACTGACAAAGTCCCCTATAAAAGTTCAGAATAATTATCTGATTGTTTAGTACTGTGATATGGTCGTATTTTCACTTAATTGGATAGTATGTATCTAAAAATTTATTAGTGACTGTTAATTAATTTCCACCGCGTATTGATTGGATGACATAAATGTACATCATATGGGTACTAATATTGGGTACTGAAAGGAACTAGTTCGTTAGCGCTATTCCAGAAATGTTTATTCCCTCAAGTTGAACTATTAGATACCCGTTTTATTACATATACTATATTGGTAAAACTGATATATATTCTTCCTTCATATAGACTGATTGATCCCCCAGTAATTTCCTTATCAACTGGAGGATATGATATGTGGACAACGTTACCTGAGGATACTTCACAATGTGGTAAGTAATTGTCTGACTACATTATAAATTTCTACTCAGTCGTTATTATACAGCGTTTTGCTTTGCATATCTATCAAAGTTAAGTTGTTCATCTCAAATAAAGATTCAGGAGTTATTCAATGGTAAATCGTAAACTATATAAAATGTCCCAAATAGCGGTTAAACAGGTATGAAATATAAACCAAATAGGACACTGCTACAAAACGCTAAATAAAATGAGTTCATATGGTTATAATAAGGATAGTCAAACTAATATATAAAGAGAAATAAGGAGATATATTAAAATCGCGTAGTTTATACCAAAACTTTTTCAATCACAGTTTTTGTCAAGCCATTTTCTGTAAATGATCGTTTAAAAAATTTAGGGTCATCTTACTCTTCAGTAAACTATCACATTGTTTATTCATGAAAGTGTTAATAACCAAGTCAATTCACAAAATAGGTTGAATTCAAATGACTTATCAGATTTTCCAGATTATCAAATTCGATAAACGATAAGTGAATTAAAATAGTTTGTCTATGGATGAACGAATTATTTTTAGGGTATACAAGTTCGAATCAACCTGACTAAACTTTAAATTTTGATGAATACTCAAGCATATCACTATGACAGCATTCTCTTTTGAAGTTCTAGAGTAAATATATCAGTTGATCATTTATTCGATTGATATCAGTAAGTGATGGCAGTTATTAATGCATTAACCGAAGATGATTAGCCGTTTAACTGATTATTACAATCGGATTTTTAGAACCAGATAGTTAATGATCTGCAGGAACTTGTTCTGAAAATGTGGTCATAGTCTAATAATGTAACTTAAGAGATTTGTGAGAGCTTTATAAGAAGGGCAGTAATATTTAAAACATAATATATTCAAACAATGTACAAATTAACAGTAAATTTAAACTATCCTGATTGAACTCAACATCTAAATGATTTTTGAAAAGTAACCGAGGTTGAAACAAGGGTGTATTCATGAAGGTCGTCATTCGAAAACTGATATTTGTGTATTATACTTTTATTCATTTATTCACGTCACAAATACGGAATAATAGTGCTGTATAAATGACAGTTTTCAACTTATCACCTAAGTGAATAACTCTTAGACTATTTACCTCGTGTGTTCCAGAGGTTGATAAATTACAATTAACAAACCCACGTTACGAGACTATAGGCTACCAACTAATTCAAACAACAATAACTTCTGTCCAGTGAGTTGTAAAATACGAATTGTAAGAACACTTGTTGACCACGATCGTAAATTCTGCTCCAAGGAAAGCCTAAAAGAACTTGCTTTCACTAAATCTGTTTAAGTAAAAATGGATGCAGAACAAAATTCATGGAGAAGTATGCCAAAACTGACGAACATGTTAAATATGATACAGCTAAGAAGAAAACTTGCCTCCCATTTCTTCACTTCAATGAAGATGAAATTAATGAAATAACCAGCGACAGAATAAATGCTTCAATGAAAATCGCTTATGCAGTAGTAATGTGGTGTATGCTAATTATACGGACAGATATAAGTAATATGTATCAGGAATTAAAAGTAGAATTCCTATTGACAGAAGAGAAACATAAAGAAACCACTCTAAACAAAATGAATTGCTCCCCAAAACAATCATAAATCGGCTGGTCCTCTTTACTCGGTACCATCGACCGCATTCGCCAATTTACATATACATGCGAAGTTACATTTGTTGAAAGAACAGGGACAAAAGTACATGTTCGCAATTTTGAGCACGTTCTAATGAATTCGAAACTGAGAGCTACAATGGGCTTAAACAGTGCAATAGCTTTGGATTCAATTGGTACCTGGCATATCATTGAAATTCTTCAATCATTCACAATTATCAGCGGACAAACGAGCGGTGCCTTTTCGGTTTTTCCGAAGCATTTGCAATTAAGGAACTCAAACCTGGTTTAAGTGTCCAGAATGAGACAGTAATCAATCTATCGTTACCTTGATAAATTCACAACTTTGATTCATATCACCTGGAATTATTTTTGTCAGTATTATTACTAGCATTTTACTACCATGTTATATATATATATATATATATATATATATATATAAATAATATTATATATATATATATATATATATATATATATATATATATATATATATAGCAAAACGAAAGTCACTTTGAAGTATGATTGAACAGATAATCAGTATATTTACCAATCAAAATATATGACAATCGTTCGAAGGATATTAATACTGTCTGCGTGAATGTGATGAATCTATGGTCCTGGAAGAATGGTTGTATAAACCTGTACGATGCAAGTGCAAGTGGTACAAAAATATGGAGCAGAATGAATAGATTAAGTGAGACTATAATAATTAGCTAATGATCCGGTAAATCAATCTGCTAAAATCATAAGCACTCATTATGGTATCATGCAATAAATACAACCTTATCAAAAAGACTTATTGGAAGTTTGCATTTAGAGATAATTTTGTATATACCATTCATTTTGATTTCACAAAGTAATCATTTATGTAGTGGCGGTTACTGTGTTAAGCCCATATGGTCACTAAAGTGTTGAGCCCGCCGATGACATCGTCCTATCTAATTGACGTCAAAATGAAGGATCTCACACTTATGTACTTCTCTGTATTTTGTTTTCAAATTATCATTATTCGTTATATATTAAACAGTACGAGTATACTGCGTGTTTTCAAGAAAATGTTTAACTAACCCAACTTAATGATAATAATTTCTGATACTGATAAAATTTAATTGCCTTAAAAGTAAGTAAAATATCACAAAAAACGTTTCATGAGCCTCTCATACTCTTTTATTAATCAACGGGAAAAAATTTCATTTTTCTATCCTAGTTAATATGACCACAAACCCAAATGATCCAAATTACAGATATACATTTATGTTGGATAACCGTCAACTAATGGAGCTTAGATCAACACAGAAATATAGTGAAAGATTTGAACTTCTACAAAAGTCTGTAGCTCAAACAGTTTACATTGGTTTTCGTCAATTGAATCAGTATGAGATTAATACGTATAAAAATACAAGTCCTCCATTAATTCCTTATCAATACAGGGACCAAATAAACAACACAGCACTTTCACGTTGGTTTTTAACATCTTGTGTATCTGGCCAAGTGGATTCTCGAAAAAATGGTCCACAAGCAAATGCCGAGTGAGTTTGATATAACTAACGTTGTTATAAACTAGATAATTAGAAAGATATTCATGGATTTCTCCCTAAATTATCCATGTATACAAAAGTACAGACTTTATCTCAAAGCCCGATCAGTTGCACTAAAAAAACCAAATAAGTAATAGACAGCTACTTTACAAAATTCTGAAGGTTCTAAGTATTTAACCTCTATAACTTTCTGAAAAGCAAGTAAATGATCTCTAGATTTACACATTTACTATTCGAAAACATCTCAAGAATTTGGGAATCATTTTTCAAATACAACAAGCCTATGTATTGCATTCAACAAGTATTCGACTAACATTCTTAAATGATCGGTGTATTTTATTAACATAAACTCACTGATCATTATCTACAGGATTTCAAACTAGAATTGAGCATTTTAATCTTTAATGAATCGTATAACCAGTACTTTTTTCTATCAGACACAAACAATAAGCTGGGAGAAATACATATTTAGAGCCTAAATTGGTTCTACCGAAGAACAGTAATGATTAGCTTATAATTAAAAAAGCATCTATCCTTATTTAAATAGTTGTCATGGTTAATAAGTAAAAAACAATTTAAACTCACAATTTCCATCTGTTCACTCAGTGCATAAATTAATACATTTAGCTGTGTTATTACATAGGTTAAGTAATTTAATTTTAATTTAACAGGTTTTAAATAAAACCGAGTCAGTGTGATAATTGAATAAGATGATAAAGTAATATTAATAATTAAAAACACGAAGTTCAGCGAAAGGACCTCTTTTCAACGAATTTATTATCAAGCTGTACAGTCGTATATATACATGAAAAATTTTTTTTTTGTTGGTTAAACTACTAGTTCCGTAAGGAAATGTGAACATGGAATAACCAAGATGACGTAATAGAAAGATTATAATACTAGAATACGTAACAAAAATAATAACAATCGACTTCATAAGTTAGTAACGAGTTATAACTTGAATGTAGTAGGATGATTCAAATATTTTTGTTACAATAATTAAAGGTTATGGTCGTGTAAAAAGTAAATAAAGTGATATCATGAGCAATTATGAATAAACTAATGAGGATTTGGGACACACGTAAGGGGAGAAATGCAATACTAATAATAATTAGTACTTTAACAAAAAAATTTCATATATATACGATTGTACAGCTTGATAATGAATTCGTTGAAAAGAGGTCCTTTCGCTGAACTTCGTGATTTTCAATTTTTAATGTTTAAATGGAAATTATCTGTCAGATAAAGTAATACATTATAAAGAATATGAACACAGACTCGGTCCAAATAGTTTGCAGTTAACAAAACATTTATTATTCGTAGATATTTAGCAATAAACTTTGTTAATCATTTATACACTGAAGAAGAAGAATGTATTTGTAAAATCTCAGAGAAAGAATTTGAAGTGAATCCAGCTTTTCGCCTAGCAATCTGATTCAAGCTTTTTCATGGAAATATACATTGGTTCAAGTAAAATGTTATAAGGTTGAAATCAGTCACATTTAGCCTTTCATACTAGATCATACTAGATATCAAGTTATGTACGGAGAGTTGTTTTTTGCAAACAACTCATAGGAAAGTATTCGTTAATTCGCGTTTTCATTATTCTCATATTTGTTAACATGTAATAATACTCTTTCTTGAATCTTAAAATAAATACGCTGGTCTATATGTTTATTGTTTTTTTTACATTTAAGGTTGGTCCTAAGACTACCGTTCAACAGACTCAATGTATATGTGATGAATTTTCCACATTCACATCTGGATGGTTTGAACTACCCAACAGTATCGATTTCAATTATGTATTTGCTAATATAGATTTTAACAAAAATCCTACACTGTATGCTACAGAGATTTCCCTTTGTATCATATTTTTATTAATACTTATCTGGGCACGTAGAGAAGATATTAAGGATATAGAAAAGGTGAGATATTACTTTTAAGATAACATTGAAGACTTTTTAGTGAAAAAGTTTAAAGTACAGCTAAGGTATTCATCACTCACTTGAGAATCACTTGACATGGATTTGTTGAAATAACATCGAAACTTGGTTATAAGTTAGATATTACTGTTTAGTTGAGAGAAAAGTGAACTGGCAAGATAAAAGGTAACGATTTGAACATAATTTATTTTTCCAGCTTCAGTTACTGGTCTTTAGTACATATTGGTCACGAGTGACTTGTATATTACATGCATCTCACGATCTACAAAATTAAAAATAAAGGTTAGAAGTTCATGTCATCAAAAGATAAGTATTAATTGGAAGGGAATAGTTATATTTAATATCGAAAATGTGCTATAATCAAGGACTTGGTTAGAAATATTAACGCATGGATAATCATTGCAACACATCCTGTTTACAAATGAAGTAGTAATTAACAAATCATGTTTTAACGGAGCAACATCTAATATTAACTAGTATGTTAGGTAGTTCTTGTTTGATCAAATATTTCCCTAAAGCAACAAGATTTAATAGCCGCGGTCCTATGGCTTAAACTTGGGAAAGTGGACCGCCCTAATCCCTGTGGTGCGAAATGTGAACATAAACACTAGTACAATGAAGGCTTATTAACTCTCCACAAATACGATCCCCAAAACAAGTCCTCAAAATGATTCGCCTAAAATCACGCCGTCATTAGACTAAATTAACTCATTAATATGCTTATGTTACACACACTCGATGGTTAATCAATAAACATCATATAAACGAAAAGATTCACATGGTTACTGTAAAACACTTACAATGTCCACACAGAATAATACGATGAATATAATTGTCACGCTAGAAGGACGTTTACATCTGTCATGCTGAATGAATTTCACAATTAACTGTTACAAAACATACATATCTGATATAATTTTGCGCTGGAAATTATAAACCCAATATTCTGCTGACTTAATGTCACTCTGAGAATGAACTTATTTCATAAAATGTTGCACCAAGTTAGAGGTAAAGTGAATTTGCCTTCTTATCCTGACTTTTCAACTTATTATTCGACTATATAACAACATGTAGTTATTATACAATGTGATTTTTTATGAAAAGAACAATATTTATTTATTGACTCCGTGGGGGGTTAACTTTATCTTCAGTTATCAAATATAGAAATATACAGGTATTCCAAAGGATTCAATGTGAAACAGAATATTGTTTGAAGAAGAGCAAGAAAAAACATAATACTTCTTAATAAAAAAATAGACATTTTATTTCATGATTTCCTTACTTAACCAAAGATAATATTCAAATGTAACTTACAAATACATAGATATGCCAAAGTTGTTAGTTCATATTTCACCACAGATTGCTATCAGTCAGAACGTCAGGGAGACTAGGCAGCTACGTAAACCTAGCTTCAACCTCTTGTACACAGCCATAACCTCATCAGGAATTAAACTTAAGGTTTTGAGATCCCTTGGGCGAGTGAGTTGTTACATTTACAAAACTGAGAAGAAGCCCAATGGTTCACATTTCTAAATTCGGTTAGTTCGTTGTATAGCTCCACCCAAAGTTAATCTTTAACGAGAACTTTCAAAATTCAGTTAGTCTTCACCATTAAACAAATTCATTTCAGCATGATCAGAGGTTCGTTATTGTCTTTCTTTGTAAACAGGTTAGATTGAAAGTATTTATCATCAATGATTTTTTAAACATTGAAGTGTAATCAGTGTCACAAATATCTGATATCTTAAATGTATAACGATGAAATCGGTAAATATGTTGCTTTTCACAAAGAAAACCTGTGAATAATCTCTGAAACATGACAGATTCTCCTTTCATATTTCTTTCTATGTGTTTCTTTCTACGAACTCATGCAAATGAATAGATAAAAATATACATTACATTAGGAATGATATATTGTTTGTTAGCAATATACCCAGACAAATGGATATTTTCTAAAAACGTTTTATATTTCATATAAACGCTAATTAATAACTTATTTTCTGTCTTTTCATATTTAGCTTACTGTCACACAGTTGTCTGAGAATAATCCAGATTGTGAGTATTTTTATGAAATCATTGTGAGTACTGGACATCGTAGATGTGGAGGCACTGATTCTAAAGTCTGTTTTATTCTTTCTGGACAATATGGTGAGACAGGCTGTTACGTTCTACAAGATCCTAATCGAAAAGTATTGTGTCGTGGTGCCACGGATCGATTTTTACTCGCTTGTCCAAAGTAGGTTTCTAGTAATTCAACCTAAAAAGTAAAATTATTTTGCGATTTCACTCATTTCATGTTGCCATACTTTGGTCCCATTAATTTTGATGTCGTATTTGTAGGAGATAAGTCATACTTGTGTTACGTGATTACCGCTTCATGATCTAGCTATGATCTGAGTATGAACGCGTGATGAAGGGTGATGAGGAAGTTTTTAAACTTCAAGATATTTTTTAGTTAAAGGTAGTATAACCTGACTGAAAGAATGGTTTCATAAACGTACTTCTTGCTTAGAGACAGATCTCTAGTGTCTATAAAAATATCGTACAATCATGTATGGTTGAAATAAAAACTTCCAAACAAATTCATCTTCTAAACTCTTAAAACTAAAGCCTCGGTTAGGATTAAATAGGATTAAATAGCAAGAAACGTGGCCTGTATTCTTCTGATGGCTAACTCCAATCATCAGTTGTTACCACGAAAGCAAATAAAAATATTTTTGAATCACTAAACAACAATTTTTAATTTTTACATTACATCTCTTATTACTCCTGATTTCATACGGAAATCTGATTAACGCTTGATACAAATCTGTGGGTTTATCAATAAGTTAACCTTACCTAGTTCTTACATCCCATATTTACGTTCATCATTCATTAGAAGTATAAATTTTGAGTACTTTAATAAAGTTATGGTCTGTAGAGCTTTAAAGTAAAACTGGAGGTACTATTAATGTTTTTGGTAAAATTTTCAAGTTACTTTGTATTCATCCCGGTTATTTGCTAATTAGACTAGTTAGTTGGTTTAAAATAAGCTATTATTAATAAATTCCCTGAAATTATCAGTTACATTAAAACTTGAATAGAAATAACATGTTATGTAAAAGATTTGAGGAAGTAGGACTGACAAGCAAACTCTTATATGTTTACCATGGCTACTGCTATGCAGTTAAGAGCATACAACGAATCAACAAAACAGCAAGAATTATTTTCTGATTCAGGAAAATAATCCATATAAGTTAAAGTTGATATCGGAGAAATTAACATTTCTCACTACATGAAGTATGATTATCTACATAAAGGTTCCAAAGAGAAAAGACCGCATACAATTTATATACCAGTTGATCAATGTACACCATAATAAAATTCCAGTAATCGAATCTCAAAATGAACACATTCGAATGTCATTTAATAAAAACGGTTTCAAGCTAGAAAATTTCAAAAATTTCAGATTGGGATCAGATTTACTTTCAAAAAGTTAACATATACTTTATGTAACATAAAATTAATTTTCTGACTAGCTAGTAGACGGTCGGCTTCAATACATGATTTAACTTTGAAAAGAAACTGTCACTGGGGTGTTTGTTACTTATGTCGGCATACGCAAGTAGTATGTAACACCATTCGAAAGTGGAAACCATGGTAGCAGAAGACTAAGAAGATCAAATTGAAGAGAATATAAAGGGATTGAGATTAAGAAGAATCATACAAAATGTGAAGGACAAATAATGGAAATTTGCAAATGGACTATTCAATATATGGTTCATCTATTTTACCAAGATATTCTTTTGTTCCTACTTTTGTTCTCGTTCTCAACACCACTACTACTGGTTGAATCAGCCGAATTGTTATGAAAATGAATTAACCATAGTAACTCTCAGACTATGAATGTATAACTTTTTATTACTAAATTATAGTTAGTAATATAAAAGTCTATACTAAAATAATCACCCATAAATGTTACGTGCGAAAATTATGCAATTTATTGATAACATCATCTATTATATTTCCATGAAACTTATAAAGGTCCCACTACTCTACTATCTATTATACAGACCGCTGGGGCCGTTAATTTACATACGTTTATGGCATGATAATTCTGGTGTAGGTGATAAAGCATCATGGTATTGCAATTATGTTGGAGTGGTTGATTTGCAAACTAGAGAAAAGTCACATTTTATTGTTGAAAGTTGGTTTGCAGTTGAAGAAGGTGATGGTCAGGTAAATTGTTAGAAATATGTCAAAATAAATGGAACTAATGAATGTTACTGTCGTCTAAAAATGATTTTTATGAATAGTATCTGTCACTTCTCCAAGGATCTTAGAAGAATAATATTAGGGAGCATTAGCGTTTCCTGGTTTCCATTTCTACTACAATTGATGTCGACTCATTATAAATGCTATTCGAAAATTGAATTAATATCCGTAAATTTTTTAAGCAAACTAATATGACTTTTTTACATGCCTTGATTATTGATTATTATTCAGGACATATATCTCAATTGAGATATCAGTGTATTTGATACCTAAATTACTGTTTTCATCAGTATATGTTCTTGTCATCGACAAACATGTTGGCTTCAACAAAAGACTGTTGGAAAGATCAGTTTCTATAAAATCAAACGATATCAATAGCAAGTAGAGTATAGTTCAATCAAATATGATTTCTTACATATAGCTAGTTAAATAAAACAATCGAGAATCCAAGATTTGTTCAACCTGATTATAAGTTAAATCAATCCACTCCAAATAATTTGTAATTCTTAAGATACAGGTGATGAAGAGCTTCATCTTAGTTTCGTTATGACTGCAAATATCAAATCTGAACTACTAAGAATTGTGATATATATTAAACTTATACTGTAAGGAGGATGAAATATTTGTAATGAATACTTGAACGAAAGTACAAGTTGAAGCATTGACCATAATCATTATCAACGATGAAACCAGTTGTGTCTAATATTTTAATCATAACTATAATTTCGTTTCAGTATCCGTAGTAATCATGAAGGTAAATGATAAACACACTCGAAACTTCACAACTGATTGATCACTGGCTAGTGATTAATGTCATGTGTGTCAAGTCCTTCTTAGGGCAAATCGAATGCTACCGACCAAGCTGCAATGTGGCCACTAGTCTAGGTGACTCGACATTGCGTGCACTATGCTGAGATAAGATGGTGGTTGGAGGTAGTCAACAGGACCCGGACCCGGGTTTCGTGCTACTTGGCATTCGTCAGCAAGGTGTACCTGTAATCTTGAGGGAATTGGTGCACCAGAAGGACTTGATACACATGACATTGATCACCACCCAGTGATCAATCAACTGTGATTACATTTCAGTCCTACAGGAGGTCGGCCACGGCCCGGATGGCCAGGTGGTGACGTCTCTGACTGTGGAGCTGGGTGACACGGGGTCGGATCCGTTAGGGAGCACCGGTTCCCTCAAGATTACAGGTACACCTTGCTGACGGGTGCCAATAGCACGAAACCTGGGTCCAAGGTTTCCTGTTGACTACCTCGAACCACCATCTTACACTCGGAACTTTCTTAGTACAGAGGAAATGTAGACATTGAATTAAATGTTTTAATAGCCAATTGAATAAAATAATACAATGTGAATAATGATCACTTATATTCTGTTTTCTAACAAACAGCTTCATAGTAGATTATTAAGGTTTCAGATATTAAGTAGCTTTGCAGGAAGATTTATCTAGAAGTGATGAAAATTATGTAGCAGAAATTATAACAGTGTTGTGAAAAGAATGCCAGAATAAATGTAACTGGTAGTGAACTTCACTAATGTTTCTTTGGGCAGACAGTTTGCCTGTAAGTAAACCATAAAATATCTATATGGAGTGAAATGATTGTCCGTTCAAAGCTTTGTTTGGGATATGTTGTACAAAAGTAGCTTTAATGGCCCTCACTGGCTTGTTAAATCTACAGGTAAGCATGTAGTGTTAGAACTACCTATAAATAGTAAACGAACGTTTTAAAATTGTTTATAAACTCCATAATGGTTTTTAGTTGTATGGAATATTCACATAAAAACCTGTGTATTGTATATTAAATACTGAGCACGAGAGTGCGAAGGAACAGTAGTGATATTTATTAGTGGAACATCGTTATTTACATTAATTTAATTTTAAGGCTTCCTAAAAACATAAATGACAGGCAAACATCTTTATATTTACTGTACCCATTGTAGAAAAACAAAAATACTTCGTCTTACAAACCTCGATTCATTTATTAAAAAAAGTATTTATTGTCTATGTTAAAATATTATTTAGGTGGATCGTATTATTCCTGTAACAAGTCAAGAAGAAATGTTAACATTTATACACATGTTCAGCACAACAGCATCTCGAAATATGACTGACGATCATTTATGGATATCAGTTGTAGCTCGTCCAATATTCAGTCGATTTACAAGAGTGGAAAGAGTTGCCTGTTGTTTACTTTTACTTTATCTATCCATGCTTGGTTCATGCATGTTTTACAAAGGTGAAGGATCTCTCAAACAGCCAAATTTAATTAGTCTTGGACCATTTGGATTCACTCCCACAGAGGTTAGTTAATATTTTGTAATTATCCATTAATAACAAAAAACATTCACTAATCTAGATCAGAATGTATCTGAAACTGTTTGTAACAAGGAGATACACATCTATATTTTTTCTAGAAAAACGTTGATTCACCAATTCACCAGTGTTGTTAAATCTATCGAAACGTCTAAATCACACAATTGATATACGCGCAAAATCGAAGTTCAGAAAACAGCGATTTACCTAAAAATCGGTTCTTTATTAAGTAATATATATAAATTAGCTACAAACCTAAACTTGTGAAGTATCTGTGGCGCCTTGACAGTCTGTAAGTCTGAAATAAAAAAGGCTTCCCACAATAATAACATAAAGAATAGTCACAACATAATGTAGTGCAAACGACAGCTGTTAGCTGTGTTTAAGCTTGATAACAGTTTATCAACGTGCAAAAATGAACCAAGAGCAACTTACTTACTTAGGCCTGTTACTCCTAATGGGGCATAGGCCACCGACCAGCATTCTCCAACCCACTCTGTCCTGGGCCTTCCTTTCGACTTCCATCCAATTCTTGTTCATTTTTCTCATGTCTGTCTTCGTTTCCCGGCGTAATGTGTTCTTCGGTCTTCCTTGTTTCCTTTGGCCTTGAGGATTCCATGTGAGGGCTTGTCTTGTGACGCAGTTGGGTGCTTTCCTCAATGTGTGTCCTATCCACTTCCAGCGCTTCTTCCTGATTTCTTCCTCCGCTGGGATCTGGTTTGTTCTCTCCCACAGTACGTTGTTGCTAATAGTGTCCGGCCAACGGATCCGAAGTATTTTGCGTAGACAACTGTTAATAAACACCTGTATTTTCTGGATGATGGCTTTCGTAGTTCTCCAGGTTTCTGCCCCATACAGTAGAACTGTCTTGACATTTGTATTGAAAATCCTGACCTTGGTGTTGGTTGACAGTTGCTTTGAGTTCCAGATGTTCTTCAGTTGTAAATATGCTGCTCTTGCTTTGCCGATCCGCGCCTTCACATCTGCATCAGATCCACCATGTTCATCAATGATGCTGCCCAAATATGTAAAGGTTTTTACATCTTCCAAATCTTCTCCGTCAATTGTGATTGGATTGGTGCATTCTGTGTTGTATCGGAGAATCCTGCTTTTCCCTTTGTGTATATTGAGACCTACTGCTGCTGAGGCTGCTGCCACACTGTTCGTCTTCTCCTGCATTTGTTGTTGCGTTTGGGATAGAAGGGCCAGATCATCTGCGAAGTCTAGATCGTCCAACTGCATCCTAGATGTCCATTGTATCCCGTGCTTCCCTTCAGACGTTGACGTCTTCATGATCCAGTCGATCACCAGGAGAAAGAGAAAGGGTGAGAGTAAGCAACCTTGCCTAACACCGGTCTTCACTTCGAACGACTTTGTCAACTGTCCTCCATGCACAATTTTGCAGTTTAATCCATCATAGGAATTCTGTATGATATTGACTATCTTCTGAGGCACGCCGTAGTGTCGAAGAAGTTTCCATAGTGTTGTTCTGTCCACGCTATCAAATGCCTTTTCGTAGTCAATGAAGTTGATGTAGAGTGATGAATTCCATTCAATTGATTGTTCCACAATGATCCGTAGAGTTGCGATTTGGTCTGTACACGATCTATCCTTACGGAATCCTGCCTGTTGGTCACGAAGTTGGGCGTCTACGCAGTCCTTCATCCTGTTTAACAATACCCTGTTGAAGACTTTTCCCGGTATTGAGAGAAGAGTGATGCCCCTGTAGTTATCACAGTTGCTGAGATCGCCTTTCTTCGGTATTTTGATCAGAAGTCCTTCTTTCCAGTCTGTTGGTACTTGTTCCTCATCCCAAATCTTATTGAAGAGAATGTGGAGTATCCTTGCAGTTGCCGCTACGTCTGCTTTTAGTGCCTCTGCTGGAATGTTGTCCGGTCCTGCTGCTTTGCCACTCTTGATTTGTCTGATGGCCATGCTGATTTCTTCAATTGTTGGTGGGCCAACATTGATTGGGAGGTCCGTGGGTGCTGCTTCGATGTTGGGTGGGTTCAGTGGAGCTGGTCGATTCAAGAGTTCTTTGAAGTGTTCTACCCACCTGTTTTGTTGTTCTTCAATGTTGGTGATTACCTCGCCTTCCTTGCTTTTCACTGGTCGTTCTGGTTTGCGGCGATTTCCAGAGAGTTTCTTTGTCGTGTCATACAGTTGTCTCATGTTTCCTTCTCTTGCAGCCTTTTCCGCCGTCGTTGCTAAATCTTCCACATATTTACGTTTGTCGGTTCTGATGCTCCTCTTCACTTGTTTGTTTACTTCTGTGTATTCAGCTTGTGCCTTGGCTTTTTCTGCTCTTGTTCGACTGGTATTGATTGCTGCCTTCTTGTTCCTCCTTTCTTGAATCTTATCCAGTGTATCAACAGTGATCCATTCCTTGTGATGGTGCTTCTTGTGACCCAGGACCTCATGACATGTTGAAGTGATTGCCTCTTTGATCCCCTTCCAGTTGCTCTCCACAGTAGTTCCTTCTCCATTGAGTAGATCATGAAAGGCCTGGAACTTGTTGCTGAGGACTATCTTGAATTTGTTGAGTTTGTTAGTATCCTGAAGAAAGGCCGTATTGAACTTTTGTGATATTGTCCGCCCCGTTGTCCAGTGCTTCTTGAGTTTCAATTTCATCTTGGCGACCAGCAAGTGATGATCTGATGCTATATCAGCTCCTCTCTTGGTTCTCTCATCTTCCATAGTCCTCCTGAACGTTTTGTTGATGCAAATATGGTCGATTTGGTTTTGTGTAGTGTGATCCGGTGAAGTCCATGTGGTTTTGTGTATGCGTTTATGTGGGAATATGGTGCCGCCTATGACCAGTTTATTGAAGGCACATAGGTTTGCAAATCTCTCACCATTTTCGTTCCTTTCTCCCAGTCCGTGTCGTCCCATGATGTCTTCATATCCAGTGTTGTCCGTTCCAACCTTGGCGTTGAAATCTCCCATCAGAATGGTCAGGTCCTTTGTTGGGCACTTCTCGACGATTGACTGCAGCCTATTGTAGAATTGATCTTTAGCGTCTTCATTGTAGTCGTTGGTAGGCGCATAGCATTGGATGATGTTCATTGAAATGCCCTCTTTCTTTGTTTTGAAGGAGGCTTTGATGATCCTTGGTCCATGAGATTCCCATCCTATAAGTGCATTTTGTGCTTGTTTGGACAGCATCAATGCAACTCCTTGTGTATGTGGGGCATTTTCTTCTTCATGGCCGGAGTATAACAGGAGCTCTCCTGTAGTTAGTCGTTGTTGTCCAACTTGTGTCCAATGTGTTTCACTGATCCCAAGTACCTCTAGGTTGTATCTTCTCATTTCTGCAGCAATTTGGAAGGCTCTCCCGGTGTCCCACATTGTACGAACATTCCATGTACCTAAATAAATGGTTGCTCTGGTTGTCAGAAGGGGCATCGGCCTCGTAACTTCCGAAGGAATTCGGCTTTCATCATGAGGCGTCATAGTTCTTCTAAATGAAGACCTTCTGACTCCCAGGGCAGAGTTTAAAAGGTTTGAATAATTTTTTCTGGTTAGCGTTTTTTTAGCGAGTTAGTTTTCTACGGGATGGGGACGCTAACCCCATGCCCAACCCTCCTCCTTTATCCGGTCTTGGGACCGGCAGTAGCCCCCGGAGGGACTCCAGGCGGAGTTGAACCAGGAGCAAACAATATGGAAACTGTCGTCTTTAAACAATGATTAAACGACCATTCAAAAACTGAAAATAACTGCTACAGGGATTGAAATAAAGTAATTGTAATGATAAATACAATAAATGTTATAAGAATATGTAAACATTTTAAAATATTACACTGTAAACTTGCGTTATGACATACACGTAGAAATTGTTTACTGAATAATAATAAGTAGTATAAAACAATACACAAAAGAGTTGAAGGGAAGTGAATAAAGAAACGGAACGTAAAACACACTTGACAAGTGATTTACCGGTTAGAAATCAAATGGTTGATATGTTTTTGAATTCAGTTGCGTACCAATTTGACGCGAACGTTCATCGATGCCACTGGTAGTCGTTCTTTTTTTGTTTACTTACTTCTTTCTCTAAAATTTGATTATGCTCTACTGAAGTTCCAAATGTTCATTCTCATGAAAAGGACCTATTATTGATCAATGGAATGTCATACAAATTGAGTTGAATAAAGGTTTGGATTGTTATTCACTATATATTGGTTAAATAACTTCATAATATTTTGATCTCGAAAACATTATGATCACTGAGATAGACTGCTTGAAGATACACGAAGCTTCAAATGTTTTATTGACATTCGTAGTTTTTCGTTTGATATGGTTATGCAGTATTAACTACTTTGATGAATAAACGTTTTGAATACTAGATCGGCTACAGAATTTTCAACCTTGTTTATAGGCTTGCTCAATAATTAAACGTTATATTTATCCATTATTTAGAAATCTATTCATAAATAAATCAGTATTTCATAATGTTTGATCTATTACTGTTACTCTGGTTACATTACATGAGTTAAATGAAATATGGTAACTATCTGGTAGAAGAAATATTTACCACACTGAATATGATCATATGTTTAAAAGCTGTAAATGGCAATAGAACAGTACATTTTATTCACTGGTATCATCTACATAATTTACATGATGACGAATTACATTCAAAAAGAAATACAAATTAATTTATTGCAGTAGATTATAAGCTTTGTATATTATTGTCACATGTGTGCTGTTTATAACAGCCTTTGAAGTTTTATTTGATTAGGAAGTGTTTTTCTCAGATCTTATTGTCAAGTAAAGAGAAGCTGTAAAAAGTTTGTAACTTATAGGGCATTATTTTCATGTTAATATTTAACTAACTCTTCAGTGATATGTCTCATTTCTCCGTATAAGGTACTTGATGACCATCTTAAGGTGATTATTTGACTCAGTAAGTCATGATTTCTCAGTAAAACTTCCTTGTACTAGTTATCAATATATGTTGGAAAGTAATTACTGATTTTCGATATCATTTCATTTGATTTATATTGAAAGTATCGGCTGAGAATTCAACATCTATTGATTTTTTGAGTAGTACATTTCGTATATAGACTCAGACATCCGATTTTCTTATTGTTTGAAGTCAGCAGAATATCACCATAAAGTCTTACTATAACACATAATACATTTCCAGGATTACTTGTTTTTTAATGTGTCCACCCGATGGCAGTTTCTTATAACGAGTGGATAAACTAAAGAATTCTACTAAATACTTAGCGACACATTTAATCTAAGTTTCTTAGACTGATATAAACTGACGATTTATTCAGTGGTTGAAAAGTAACATTCAGTAGAGACAAATATCCTCTCATGATGATTTTCAGAGTATGCTACAAAGAAGTTAATTAGTGTACCACCAGAATATTCAAGAGAATAAATCCCCCTTCAAATTGTAATTTACCAATAAATTTATGACATATTAAATTCACTGGACTAGAATTCATATTATTTCATAGCATACTGAAGATATTATAATTAAAATTTATATTTGTCAATGATCATTCTTTTATATAACTAAACTAGAAGCTTTACATTATCCTGACTGTGCAGTTAATTTGTAACTCTTTTACTCAACTCCAAATCGTATCTGAACAAAAATAAGTTGACATTTTTTAGTCTAACCAATCACTTTTTCTACCTTGCAGTTATAAATATTAACTTTTATTTGTGTGTTTTTCTTCTTTCCACTTGTTTTCTCTCCATAGTTTTTGTAGCTATTGTTAACAATCTGCTTACATTCATTCCATTGTTTTTAATCATTTATATATTTCGTAATTCACGTTTACGGGTTAGTCATGCAACGAAATTACGCCATGCTATTGAAGAACATTTAGATGAAAAACTATATATTGGAAAAGCTTCATTTATTTATAGTACTCAGTCAGCAATACAAGATACAAGCAAAAGTGATGAGTAAGTTCGCTTATTGTTTTAGCTGTGAACTAATGGAGTAGCTAGTCTTTCTATCTGTGGTACCTTGGAGTGAGTCAACATATTTTGTCGCATACTTTTCAGAAATCGTCTGAGTCAATCTATAATCGTAACAGCCGAAGCTAGTGTCCAGACTAGTGAATGGCTATAAAATCTGATCAATTCAGTCAATACTATTATGAGTATTTTCATCTTGTTCAGAAATCAGAGTTTATATACTTCTGTTGGTCTTCAGTATAAAGGGATAAGACTCAGAAAACCCAATAAATCTCAGAAAATATAGACCCTCAGATGGATTAATCTAGTCACAGGTGCTTACTACAAAAGAAAACATTGGCATACATTTTTTATATAAATACATTTATCAGTATTAAATATTCTCGAAAACTCGATATGGACATTTCTATCCATATTTAAAACTAACTTCCGACTAACTACAGCACTATTATCATTACTGATAATATCTAAAAATGACTAACACAAAGAATATTAAAAGAAATATTTGTGACTCTGAATTACTAACACAATTGTCATATATCATGGAGCAAAAGAACTACAGATTGCTTCAGTTATTGAGCAACAGATCACAAACAATCTTGTGGATTAATTAATAATGTCTAAATAACCCAGATTTTTTTAGCTGTTTGTAGTGTTGAGAAATGTAATGTAACTTCATCTAGATACCGAGTTGATATCCAACATTATAAATAACTTGAACGGCATTTAACAGTAGTAACATTTCCATATGTACTTGGCTACACTGTTAGTCTTGCTATTCTTCAATGCATAGTTCCATTTACTTGAAAGCTTTATTGATGTTCATGTTTCAGAGTAATGATTTTCATAGTTGCCCTGCTCTACCTATATAGTTATGAATATTGATTTTCTAGCTAGAAGGGTAGTTCAAGGATCAACATCAACTGGAAAGAAAATCAAGTACTGTTATGACGTTATGTGAAATACAAGAATACTCAATCCATTAGAAAACAAAGTTTGACAATGGTAGGAGATCTAAGTGTGAGAATGTAGACCAAACACAGACGAGGGTTATCAGACTTGATGAGATAGGTCAGTGATTTAAAGTTTCCCGTCAGCATAAAAAGTTTTTGAACAGGAATTATCTTAGAATCTAACTCATATATAAAATTCTACAAATCTGAGTCTGAAGGATGGCTACAATAACTGTTCAATGTTTAGTTACCTCTGAATAATCTTTTGGTTGATGTTTCTTCCAGCTAAAAACTGTCGACAAACATTTAAATGACCAAGCATAACAAATAAAGGCACATAAGGCGGTGGCATAAAATGCTCAGTTAGTAAAAACGCCAGCTGAATTTCCTCTAACACAAGTTGATTTTCGTCTTCCTTTTATTTATTTCGATACAGCCGTGAGGCTCTGGCTGAAAATGCTGACGATACTGAAGGTAAAGAAAAAGGACGAACTTTGTTTTGTGGATGGCAAATGCGTATTTTCGCTTGGTTACTTCTTATCATATGTTTGGGTATAGCTGTCACTTTTACAACATTCTATGGTGTGATGTTTGGTGAAGCTACATGTAAAAAATGGCTGTCATCATTGTTTCTATCATTCTTTATAAGTGTACTACTAGCTCAACCAATAAAGGTATACTTAGTTGCTTCCTTTTACACATAAGAAATATTTTTTTAAATCAATATTTATTGATTGTGTTTATTTAGTTTTAATTGTTATAAAATATCTCAATAACTGAAAATATGTCATGTAGAAGTATTTGTAAAGTAAACCTGATCTTTCATAAAACATTAGGGTTAAGGTGAAATATATCTCTGAATCAGTTAAGTGATATATACGTTACCTATATTAATTAATAAGAACTTCTGTCAAATGGATTGTAGTAATATGAACCTTGATTAGTCACTTTTATTGACTGAGTCACATCAGATAACAAAGGATCAAGCAAAGATGGTAGTGATTGCATTAATATTGCAATCATCTTTCAATGCTGTCTGTGGTACCAAATAGTAAGGCTGTTTGTAGACAATTAAAAAAAGGCACAATATACGTTGGATTTTCTCAAAACCAACTACTTTATCATAAGCCTCACTCTTCCTTATCATCAGTCACTAATGATTAGATTGATTAAATGCAAACGTCGGTGCAGCCAGTATTCAACTACTTATATTTATGTGCAACACACACTTTTGTCTTAATTTGATCCTTATGCGTGGTACTGATCGATAGTATTTTGTGGAAAATTTGGTGACTATAGAGATTGAGAGTAAAATAGTCATCTAAATATACTTTAAGATTCGCACACTATTCATCAATCGTCCGTTCATTCTCAGGTATAATAAACCCTAATATTTTTGACTAAAATAACTTCCAGAGAAGTGTATACTGGATACCTTTCTACAATAAATTATATTTGGAGCTGTCAACCGTACTAAAAAATAGACTCCTGGTTTCCATTTAATCATCATCTAAAGGTTTGTAAAATATTTACTTTTAATCATTCCTGTGGTCATTGATTTTTATAATCCAGTTATCCGATGACCAAGTTGTGTATACTCTTCACAATTCATCTACCAGTTTCCTTTCGCATTGGAATATGATCCCAAATACACATAGTCTAATGTTCACAAAGTCGATTTCTTTACAGGGTCAAATGTTACTCGGCAAACATTATGGAGTTTAGTTTTCTCTACAACAGTGAATTCATAATGAATGACTGATGGCTTAGTGACAACCTCTCAAAAGGATATTTAAAATAACTTAAAAGTGCCGATTTTGACACTGTTTTTTTAAAAGAATTTTAAAAAATCCTTTGCCCTCAGAGTAGTCAGACGCTTTTGAGAGATGTACTCGAATAAATTGTTGCTCATAGTTTAATATAGTCCAAATTTCTACTTAGAGTTACGGTTATGCCAGTGAGTTTCAATCTCAAAGATAATGATAATCATAATAATATAAGCTATTTATATTATTAAATAAGAATTACTTAGAGATATATTTGTTATTTCCTTCAAATTTTCCCCTAATTTTTACAGGTACTACTGCTAGCCGTGTTCTTTTCATTCATTTGTAAATCAACTGATCGAGTAGATCAAATAGAAATTTTTGAAGAAGAAGATCGAATAATCCAAACATTAGGAAAGCGGTATCAACTTCGAATGGATAGAGAATACTTAAATAATAACTACCGTATGTGAAAAAGCTTTTGTAATTGTAGATTCTTTGCTGTGATTAAAGCCAATTTTGATAGACATGATACTTCTTCATAAATGTGCTTATTAGCTTAAGTTGTGAGCGTCATGTTAACTGACGAGTATTTTTAGTAAGCTATGTAGGCACTTAATGGATTGCAGAGAGAAAGATTCTTATCATTTCCAGCAGGTGCCGCAGTATGAAAAAAACGATAGAAGACACCTTACTTGTGTTGGTGACTTTAAACCTATAAGATTATGATATACACATATATCCGCTGTATTATAAATTCCTAGTGATGTAAGCCACGTTCATCAGCTAAATGTAATTAGGAGGAGAAACTTCACAGTATTTCAGGTATAACAATTAGCTGAGAACTTTGCCGTCAATGAAATATTGGAAAACTTCAATAACATCTGCTTCTGTAGAGATACTACACTTTGAAAGTAAATACGTATTCGGAACATAACTTTTGTTTAACGGTACTTCACAATATATGTTTCTGTGATGGTGAAATTAGTATTTCTGTCTGGAATATGATTGTTTAGGGTAGAGATATTATTATTATGATTGTATTAGTAATACCCTTCAGTAATTAAACATATTAAATTAGATTTTTTCATTGGTTGCTTACGAAGTGCGAGTATAATTTTCTGTAAAGTTTAACTCAAATAATAACTTGAAGAGAAAGTGATTTTATCTCACTAAAATATTATTTTTTTACAAGATGACTAAACTTTTGTCTCATATTTAGTATCTGATGATTTTCGTCCACAACGTTTGGTAATCCTACCGCCGGATCCATCAGACTTGGCACGTGTTCGAGCTTATCGACTAAAACAAAGACGAGCCAATGACATCATTCGTGAAGTTATACTTTACGTTTTCTTTCTCACATTGCTACTAATTGTCAGCTTAGATTTCCGTGATGCTAATGGATTTCTCTTGAAATCTAGTCTACAAAATTTGTTTTTTCCAAGTTCATTTCAAAGTGTAAGTACTTTCTAAATTGCTAGAGGCCTTTTCATATAGAAACGATTATTTTGTGATTTTGATGGTTTCCTAAACGGTTCTGTAAACTATTCAAGGCACTTATTTACTCCTGGCCGTAAACTATATATATATATATATTAGCTGAGTTCTACCTACCGCCGGATAAGTCAGACAACTAGCGAAATCTTTCAGGAAGGCTAGGGGGATAACTGTACGACACGATGATGCTTGACAAACTTCAGAATAAAGCATTTATTATTTAAATGCCGTTAAATGGTAATAACAACTACGGTATTTCAGATTAGTGTGGCAACTAGTAGGTACCAGAAAGACAATAAGTTGAATTATTTATTGGGCTAGTCATTATGGTTTCGAGGAATCGGAAAACGATAAGCCACTTGTACAATAAAAATTTCAGACATTATCATTTGATGTAGTCATTTATACTAAGCAACCATGTGAAAATGTGAGGTTATGGATCTAGTCTGATACCCGATTCATACTCAGTATCACCTAATGGTTTCCAAACAAACAAGCAAGTAGCTGTTCCTAGATTTTGAAGACAATACTGGTTTACTTACAAAATTATATTTAAATAAATACTATCTCTCCTACAATGATAATTATAGTAAGAGATCAAGTTCTCTTTGACGATAACTTTCATCACAAATGAAATACAGTTATAGTAAAACGGGAAACCATGAAACATTGGATAGACGTTGATACTTTTTAGTTAACCCTGGGTATTGTAAAATATATATCATGAACTCTTATATAAAAAAATTAAAGGCTAAATAACAACCTCATTGGGAGACCTGGACAAAAAGCCCACACTTCAACAACAGCTAGATATTTTGATTCAATATATTTTCATAAGGAGAATGAGGGCTATGATTTATCATCGGTAGTTGATAACAAATCGTCCACAGGATATTAGGAAGAAATACACTTCTGAAAATCGTTAGTTTCCATTCAATTTATTTAGAGACCAATCAGCAAGTTATAGGTGTTTATAAAAATAGTTCACGTTTTAGGGATAGAACATATGAGTTTCCTAAAAACCAGGTGTAACTTTATTGACTTTTTCGGATTATTGCCAAAACCTCAAATAAAAACTGTATCTGTTAAGTGGTTAATTAACTAACTTAAATTTTGTTAAGGATCACACTGGTACTTTCCATATGTTGATATCCTCTCACAAATTAGAAGAAAGTAATAATAGTAGCAAAAAAGAAACTATATTTAGTTGTAAACAGTTGCTGTAAAGTGATAACGAACAATCAATTATTTTACGTTCTACCATGGACGAAATGATATTGTCATTTATTTATTTACTCTAAGTCTACTATTATAAGCTGAATAGTCTTCAATTTCACAATTACTTCATGAACATCAAAAATTCACAATTTCCTAATCACTGTCTTAATGAGAAACAAAATTGTGCAACTTTGTAACTAACCAACTGATTTATCACTTGCTAAACTTTGATTTTATTGATTTACAAGTTTACGTTTAGAAAAGATTAAATGAACCAGTAAATTAGTCAGTAGTTATCCACAATAAAGGAATGATATAATGAATTATAGTTCATGATGATTATTAAGAAGAAGGTATGATCTAATCAAGAGTTAGTTTATGGCTGCTGATTACATAAAATTTAAACATGTCTTAAAAAGCTAATATTTTGAACAAGTTCTCCAGATTTTGATGGAATTTTGTTCTCTGAGCTGAATGGTTTGGTCATGAAGTTGTCATCGTTCTTTTGAACAACATCATCAGCCCAAACTTCAGGTAGAAGTTCTCCAGAGTTTGTATCCCAGTTTTATTTATTAATGTACAAGTAAACAATAGGAGTTTGTCACTGTTAAATCTAATTTAACAAGGACGTTAAGTATATTTTATTGAATAATCATCGAATTTTATAAATTCTGGTTTATCATAAAATAAGGTAATTGCTCTGTTCAGTTTTATATGCTCGATTACTTGACTGTAATATTGAGTAAATATAAAAACCTGCTTTAAGAATTTTTTGTATTACGACTTCAAGTCTATTCATTTATGTAAACAATATTATATTACTGCATATTAATGATATATTCATATAATTGAAAATGTGCTTATATTGACCACTTTAAATTAAGAGTCTCATGAATCTATATTTGATTATTGAAGAGATCAACTACAACACAGTGGAACTTTGGTTTCAAATGAAGTTTGATTAAGATGAAAACTTCAGAAATATCGTTTAAACTATTATATACTAGTACTTTTAAAATGTATATTTACAAATTAAATAGAGGTTTTAATTAACACACTTCATTTCAGAGGTAATATGTTTTTATTGACAGATGAATGATGTGGACGATTTCTATAAATGGGCCCAGAATGTTCTAATTCCTGGCTTGCGTGCAGATCGATGGTATAATCGTAATCCACCTTTGTTCCAACGTGGTTTCTTGCAAGACAGAACAGATCGAATAATTGGTTATGGAATGATGAGACAACTACGAACTAAAAAAGGTATTTATGCATGCATACACTCCTCCATCTTACACAGGAATTACTTATTATTTTCAATGGTCGAGATCATGAGTCAATTGAAGCTAGACCACCATGGAAAACCTGGAAGCACTGGACGGCCGTTTCTTCCTATTGTGGGACTCCCCAGCAGTGCTCATTCACGATCCCACAACACGAGATTCGTACCCATGACCTATTGGTCTCACGCGCGAACGCTTAACCTCTAGACCACTGAGCCAGCATCCGTGATCTCAGCCATTGAAATCACTATAATATCCACAAAAACCCTTCTGACATTTATTATTTGTTGAAAGTATCTACTGATTAATGTATTCATGTTTATGTAAATAATAATATTCGTAACTCAATACTCCGTAATATTGTGTTAGCATATTTTCGACTTGACACTCGTTAATTGAATAGCATCGAATAGCATCGAACTTTAGTCTATTATGTCAAAACAGTTAAACAAGTGGTTCATATCTATAACAGAACTGAATCAGTGTTAATGTTTCTTAATGTATCACTGGATAAGGTAAGTATGTTTCCCAGAAACATTTACCTTCACAAGTTTGCACACACTCTACTGAGGACTGGGAGCATACACAGAACTTAGATTCAAACTCAGTGATGATTTACTGTTATGTATTGTCACTCAACTAGATGCCTCGGTTTCACTATTTGGTCAAGATTCAATGGTCAGTATCACAGGTAACATTATATCAGTAGTAACCATTCAGTAAATGACTCATAGATAAACTAACTCTCAAGGTTATGTAACGAGTCTTTGATGGTTGTCATGCTCTATGTTGTGTAAACTTATTGTTCGAAGGAATGATCAGGTCTTAATCTGGAATCAAAACTTTTGTGAGGAGATAATGAGGAATCCCTACTTGCAAATTAATTATGTGTAAATTTAAAAATTTGTCGATGACATTTATCTATATTCTGAAACTACTGAAGTAGCAAAATTACAACAATCCAGATCCCGACAGACGAACAATATTTCTTCTATGATGATTGATGTTTTAATCATGTATCTTGGATAGGCTGACGAAACCTTGAGTATTTTATTTACAACAAGCTGTTTAGTTGGTGCTACTGGGAAACATTTTTCTCAAAAGCAATCGTGAATCCCCTCTAAAGCTTTGTAGGCACTTTTAAGAGTGTAGTGAACCTTTTGTCAGCATCTAATTCTAGAAATTAATCAATAACCCATATATTTCTTTTATGCGCCCTTTTTTCTTTTGAGCAGATTCATGTAACGTACACGAACTCGCAAAACATCTATTCAAACATTGCTACGGAAGTTATGATATGTTTAACGAAGATAAAGAAGCATATGGGATATCATGGGCTAAGTTTGAAGGCGATCATAAGTCGAATAATTCTGCACCAGAATTTGTTTATCAAAATTCATCACAGTTGAAAGGTTATCCATATCTGGGACAGATTACATGGTATTCTGGAGGTGGATATGTTCATTTACTAAGAGGTTCAAAGGATGAAATGTTAGACAGGATGAGTTTTTTGAACCAAACTCACTGGATCGAATTCTCTACACGTGCAATAATAGTACAATTTACAGTGTATAATCCTAATATCAATCTGTTTGCCATTATAACTGCTCTAATTGAAATGCCTGGTATCGGTGCAATGATACCATCGTATCGTATCGAAACGGCTAATTTGTTTGGAGTACTGGGCTCTAAGACTAAGCTTGCGCAAATTACATCTCAGGTAGGGAATCTTTTAAATGCTTATTTGGACTCAATTTTCTCTGACACATATTTTTACATGAGGGATTACAAAGATTTACAAAAAGATCTTAAGCTTCCAATTTGTTTCTTTGGTGTTCTTTTCGTAGGTTCTTAAGCAGGTCCTAGTCTATGTTAGATTATTTCCTAGAAAATTGACGTTAGCATTTTACGTATTGGTTGTGAATTCCAGGCGAAATCCGCTGATCTTTAGAACAAGTTGTTGGGATCAACTTTAAAGAAAAAGTATTAAGATAACTAGAACCACTTGAATATAATTGAAACATAGCTGTAGAGTAGATTCAACCATGTGTATGCTTGTCTGAAATTTCTATTTCCAAAGGCGTTATTGTTTGCAGAGTTAAATCCATGTTTTAACGGTTTTCAGCAAACCTATATATATACATTTGAGACATTTACTGATTGTAAACGTGACTATTATCTAGTCAACTATTTTTCTATAGAACAAACTCTCAGTAAAGTTTTAACTGATTTTTGTATTGGTTGTCTGAATCTTTCCATTGATGTCTAGGTCTAAAATTGATCAATCTCTTATTGGTATATATGCATCCTGTGAGGATTGCCTCGATATTTCAAAATCTCTATATTTAGGACTTCATTTAATTGGTGTCTGGTAATATATGTACATCTAAATATATTATTAATTCTAGCTATGGACTTAACTTTATCTCTGAATATCTAGTAAGATACCTCACAAAAAAGTTGATTCAATTAAAAAGGAACACGTTCTACATGTATGGTGGTAGCTAGAGATGGTTCACAGGAAATCATGTACCTTAGTTTCATGCCATTTAACGCTCGTAGGCATGGTGTGCCTGTAATCTTGAGAGGAATTATACTAACTGATGGACTCGATTTCATTTTACCCGGCTACCACTGAGTTATTTCGGCCGCTACTGATTTTCTCTAAAACTGAGATGTATTTACAATCGATTGATCAATGAGCAGTGGCTAGCGACTGAGTAAAAGCCTAAAACGTAGTGTTATGGGAAACCTCATACAGTTTTGGCGCACAACTGGTATCTACGTAAACTAGTCTTTTATGTAATCAAGTCAGTTAAACTTATCAACAATAAGATTAAGTACCAGTTATTTTATATTTTGACTTGGAAATTAAAAAGAAAATATACTGTTATATCACTGCTAAATCACTTAAAATATAAGGACGGTATTGAGTAATCTTTCATGTAAGTGGGAAACATTGGTACACCACAAATATTTTTGGAGACGTACTTAAAAAACTACGTAGCGGTTGGAATCTAGGTTACTTTTATAAGCATTTTCCATTTATTTAACAAGGTAAAATTGCCAAAAAACATTTCTAGTGCCAGAATCACAAAATAATGTTTTAAAAGTCTCGATTCTTTCACTGTTGATTGCCGATATTACAGGAGGGATGTACGACAAAACCAGATGTGATCCTTTCCATTAATTTCAATCCAACAACATGGTTAAAATTTCACAGTATTGCTTTTATAGTTGTTATTCTTAAATTTATCCTTGACATATATATGTTTAAGTCTTCCTATGATAACCACTGTGTCAGGCTTCCTCTACCTAATCTTGATTCTCTAATCCCATGTAATTTAATGGGATAACTTCTGTGCATTTAGGGGAATCTAGGTTTGAAATGACTTAGGTAGGCACACAACCAATAAATTGTACTTCAGTGAATCGTGCAACACGATTATCATGTATATAAATTTACAAGTTTTTAACTAAGTTACGTAGATACCAGTTAAATCACACAGTTCACACAGATCAACCGGTATGGAAAATACTTCATCAGTTATGATCTTTAGATCGGTTCATATATTGTTGTTAATGAGTTTAGGTCTCTTTAATTTATTAATGATATTATTATTGATATCATCTATAAATATGTACAAGCCATGGACAGCACATATATTTGAACTTCAGGACTGATATAAAAATCACTTTCATGGATATGAACATAAGTAAATAAGAATTTTCGTAATCCTCACACAGAATTTATTATGATCAATTAATAGACAAGTAAACAAAGAGAAATAAACTCTGAAAATTATTTACTCAGTCACGTTGTTTTCTTTCTATTTTTTTTCTGTTCCTCTAATAGGCACTATTTGCATTCATACTATTTTGTTATTTAATCAAAGAAATACGCAGTATGTTCAGACAACGGTTGAAATATTTCACGAAATTTTGGAATTTTGTTGAGTTATTCATTATTTGCGGCTCTATAGCTGCTATCGCTGCATATATTTACATGATACTGAGTACAAAGTCATCTATTGAAGAGTTTTCACGTACACATGGTAATATTTATATGAATTTTCAACTATTGGCATATTGGAATGAAAATCTTACGTATTTAACCGCTATAATTTGCTTCTTTGCCATGTTAAAACTTGTATACTTATTTCGTTTTAATCAAAGAGTTGGTTTATTAGGGTCTGTGTTGAAATATGCAGCAACAGATTTAAAATATTTCTGCTTTATATTCTTGGTTGTCTTTTTCTGCATTTGTATTAGTCTTCTACTTACTTTACAATGATACACTAAGTGGTTTTAAGACAATTTTAAATGCTATAGAAACAAGTATGCAGATTATTCTGGGGAAATTCGATTTCACAAGTATGTATGAACGACAAATGGTGTTGGGTCCATTACTGTTTGCTGCTTTCTCTTTATGCGTTGTATTTGTAATGGTCAGTATGTTTATAGCTATACTCGATGAGAGTTTCCAACGTGTTCTTAAAGATTTAAGTTTGCAGTCAGATGATCATGAAATGACTCAGTTTATTGCAATCCAATTTATCCAATCTATTGGTCTAGATAGAACGACATGGGTAAGAATTTTATCAAAAACGTCAATACACAACAACAAGAACCAATTTATGATCCAGAAAGTGAATCTTCAAAACATGTTGCTCAGCTGAAATCACTAATGAATGAATTCTTAGAGCATGTTCAACAAAACTTGATTACAGAAGAAAGAAAACCCGTGGATTCGAAGTGATTAGTTCCATCATTGCTGTCATGTCTGTTTGTAGTAAGGAAATAAATAAACCATGGTTATCATAGAAAAACTCTTCAAAATAACACTTTTCGAAAATTCTGCTTCTTCGATTATTTATTCAATAATAACATCAGTCTATATTAGCTATACTTTGCACTTCGATGTTATCCATTCTTTTTTTCACACCTTCGTATAATACTAACCTCTTTTTACCATCGCAAACACTATGTTTAAAACAATAATAAGTATTGAAAAATGTCTTTTTTTAATTAATTAAAGAAAGAATGATTCTAGCTATATGTAAAACCAACAGGTTTAGTATAATTAAGAGCATAAAAATTCAATAAATTCCTAATTCAAATTTCCACTTATTTATAGATGTCTTTGGTCTTCAAGATGAAAGATAATGTGCCAGTTCAATACAGTATCATAGATTTTGTGGGTGACGAAGTCATAAGCGGTTGAAGAGTGCTAAACTGACATAGTATTTTTGCAAACTCATTAGTATATATAGTCGATCTAATATATACATAAACTGAGCTCAGAAATGCTTTATTTTACAAATTTTAGGGTACAAAACTCTTTTATCTTTCATTATACTACCAATTCGTGTTAATGAACTCCCCCCAACATCGTTTATACTATTTAAAGGATTCTTCTAAATACTCAGGAGTCAGGATCTTTAGCTGCCTCATCATTCCACAATTTTTGTATATAGTTTTCTCGACTACAGTGTTCTGTTAGAATATTGTGTACAGATGACTATGTCAGTTCTAGATCATCAACAATCATCTAGTTAGGGAAGCGGCTATTAAATAGCAAGGAATTGTACATGTTTCATTTTTTTTTCATTATCACAGGAGTTCGAAGCCCTTCCTGTTCTACCTCCTTGTAGTCTTCACAAGTCACACCAAAACACCTGAGCCATTTAGAAAAGCAGTTTTCGTTAACGCATTATCCTCGTGATCAACCGCATATATTTTGGTAATTTCATGAAACTTTAGTCGTATTCATAAATACCAACCTTAGTAGTTCAGTTCTCGTATTTAATGATCTAATAATGTAGAGTAAATCAAAGGAATCCCACAATTGTCCCCATTGAATATACTACATTCTACATCCTTTTCACATAAACAGACTTCCATTCGTTTGGTTTTATTCTGCGTATAAATAAGCACGATTTTTTAAGATAAAAGAGAGTACTTATAGAATAAAATGTTTGAATATCATTTTCATGTTACTATTGTTATCTTTCATGAGAAATCTCATCAACAAATCATCATGAGGTTTACTTACAAGAGGTTAGCAAATTTAAAGTACTGAGTAATGTTAGACTATGTTATATGAATAGATAATCATGAATTGCATGTATACACCGAGTTTATGAGTAGTACAAGACTAGCTTCAACAAGCATCTGACCGCAATCAATATTTTACAAACTAGTTAATTACAACTCATTGGTAGTTAAGTGTGCTTACTGGTGAATATTTTAGTACGTACACTTAACCGTTATTACATTATAGTACTATCGGAATGACCCAAAAAATCAAACGAAATTAGTAATAATTTCCGTTCTCTGAACCTGAAACTAACTGCCTTCTAAAAGAAATATTTAAGCGAACTTAGCTAGTGATAGTTTCCATAGTCCCTCAATTCGGTGAGATAATTGAAAAAGGGTTAGGTTCATTAGCAACTAGTCTACAAGTGGTGAAATAACGTAGTGAACTAAACGTAAACAAAATGTTTAGTCAAGCGTCTTGTCAAATGTGATCAAATTTTTATTTTAGCGAATCCTACTGTGTTTCAACTACATGGTAATATCCTGGATATTTAGAGGTTTATCAATAAGCTAAAAAGTATTCGTAAATTAAAAACAGATCCGAAATTGCTACTTTAAGCATTTAACTGAATTTTGGTGACAGTAGTATACATACATGATCATTCTGCTACTGGAAATCACTTACGTACATCCATGTAAACAACGTTCTGATCAGTAACTAAAAGACTGTTCACAGTTCAACAACTTTTATACTCTAAACTGAAAGGCAGAAGAGAATCCACAACGACATTTTGTACAACTGTTCATACAACTTTCATACAAGTAACTTATAGTTTTTCGAAAATGATAACTGTCCCTGTAAGTAGGAGGACGTTAAATGATAAATAATATGGGTAGCGATAAAAGTAATCAGATATTCAACAAAGTGAGGGTCGTTCACCTATGACAATTATGAGAGTTCAGTGTCTATCCTAACTGAAGAAATACTTTGATAACTGATTATTAACACTGGCAATTTGATAGTAGGGAGAAGACGAAGTAAAAGAGTGTATGCATCAACTTTTTACATTACATTAGACCTTGAAATCTTAAGTTACCTGTATCATCGTTGTGAACATGTCATGCTTGTCCATTGTCTTTAAGACATTTCGCTTAATTTTGTAAATAATTTCCATGCTCAGTTAGTATGGAGTTGTGTGGCTGGGTCCAACCAGGCAATTAACGAAGTATTGAATTGTTGGTGATTTTAAATCCTTCCTTTGTTAGTCATAAAGGATAATTCCAGAAAATCTGCTTGGAAACGTTTTTTGTACTGCTGATATAACGAGCTTCATGGGCGCAAAGCTGATGACCACCTTTATTTTATTTACAAATCAATTTGCGTGTAGATTGCACACTGCAGTCCGACTGGAAGGGTCATATATTGGAAGATCAATATAGTCGGTTTTTGTCAGGAGCTATTGTGTTTTTAAATTAAACATTCATAAACAACCTTCTTTGGTTCCGTAGAATACCGTTCATTACCTAAGTTACCAGTTTTGGATTTTCCTAGATTAATTCTGCATAATAACCATTTTAAAGTGGTACGTTTCAAAGATTCAACAGTGCTTCATGAACTGTATCGTCTGTATGAACTGGCTATGTTATTAGTTATTAATCTGTTGTTATTATTTTCTTTCTTCGCCCTTAGGTTGATGTTCAACTAGCATACTCTTCGCTGAGAAATTCAGCTCCTTAGTTGACTCCTTTTAAGTAATACTGCGTACAAAACTTCTTGTCAAACAAAAAAAATGCATACTTGTCGTGCATTGTAGAATTTCAATTTATATTCTTTGACTTTTTGATTCATCACAAACAAAACCGACTGTTTCTATCAACCGCGTATTCGTGAATAGTAGTTATAAATTGATTTGTATCGTGGATTTCTTATTTATTTCTGAATTCCTTATTCGGTCAACTAGCTCAGAATTCCTTTGAATGATATTATTTTATGAACATTAATTGACTCATGATCTCAACTATTAAAATTACTATAATACCCACAAAGTTGTCTGCGCAAAATACTTCGGATCCGTTGGACGGACACTATTAGCAACAACGTACTGTAGGAAAGAACAAACCAGATCCCAGCGGAGGAAGAAATCAGGAAGAAGCGCTGGAAGTGGATAGAACACACATTGAGGAAAGCACCCAACTGTGTCACAAGATAAACCCTCACATTGAATCATGAAGGCCAAAGGAAACAAGGAAGACCGAAGAACACATTACGCCGGGAAACGAAGACAGACATGAAAAAAATGAACAAGAATTGGATGGAAGTCGAAAGGAAGGCCCAGGACAGAGTGGGTTGGAGAATGCTGGTCGGTGGCCTATTCCCCCTTAGGAGCAACAGGCGTAAGTAAGTAAGTAAGTATGTAATATCCACAAAACCCCTTCTGATACTAATCAACATGTGCTCACTATTGACTGGCTTCAAGAGGTATTTCCTGGAGTTCTGGTGAGAAGCAGTGACCTGTAGAGTTCAACTAGGTCTGTTGTGAGATAGTAGCTCACTGAAGACAATGGTGAATGTGTCGCTCATTTTCGTGGATTGATTGAAGTTCGACATTAACACTGTTGGTTCCGGCTCATCGGTCTAGAGGTTAAGCGTTCGTGAGCGAGACCAATAGGGCATGGGTTTGAGTCCCACGAGGCGGATTCGTGGATGAGCACTTCTGAGGAGTCCCACGGTAGGACAAAACGGCCGTCCAGTGCTTCCAGGTTTTCCATGGTGGTCTAGCTTCAATTGACTCATGATCTCAACTACTGACATTACTATATTATCTACAAAACCCCTTCTGATACTAAATTTTCAGTTAAAATTATAGAAAAAACAGCAGTTGTATAGAGTTGAATGGAGTAGAAAATCAATTCTTCTTCCGACTATTAATTCTCGCGGTATCAGTCCTTACTGTGTATTTTGTGAATGTAATCAAATACCCTGACACTAACATTGTTAAAGTACCAGTGGCATATAGATTACTTTGAAATAATTTTGACTAGTAGCGTTTTATCGGTAAATAATTATTGCGTAGATTACCCAACAAGAATGCCTGACATTCAGCTGACTTGACTCTTTTTGAAGTTTAGCTAATAGATTCATTGAAAATATAGCAGATCGATCAATTCACCGCCTATATTTTGTTATGGCTGATTCGAATAAATGCAGGAGGACAGAGACTGTAGTTCAAGACTGATTATACACCGTAAATGAATTAGAAATTATGCTCGATTTTTATGTGCTTATCTATACCGATCAGTATTCATATTTGAATAAATCAAACTGAGTAACACGATACTAATTAATTGTGTATGAACACAAATTATAGAAGCACATGTAGTATGGCATTATATCTATATGGATAAATCAATATATAGTCTGATCCGAAACCTCGTCACCCAGTTTCACATTCTTGGACATTACTACTAACCCAACGAGCAATCAGTAGTCAGAAACCTAAATCCAGGGCTTCCCATCACCGATCGATTGAGTCGTTTCTCTTACCTGTAAATTAAAGTGTTGTATATCGTTCTTGAATACCGACATTACTCAGTGATCATTATTTATAGCTGCAATACAATCGAAACTCAGACTGTAGGTTGATTTTTTTAAACACTACAAACTTTCGCAAAATACCACTGAATCACACAAAGACAAAGCTAATAAACTGAACTAGTCGGGAACAATAATTAAATTATCTGTGTTACAGATGACCTAATGGTTAATAAATTGCTACTGACTAATTAAAATCATGTATGTAACTCCTGTAGCTCTTCTATAGTTACTGCCGGTCACAAGCCCGGGTAAAGGAAGGAGATTGGGCATGGGGTCGGCAACCCCATCCCGTAGAAAAAAATCTTGCCAAAACACGCCAACAAGATTAAGCAAATAAAACAATTTAAACTCTACCCTGAGAGTTGAAGGAAGAATGATGACGCCTCAAGATGAAAGCCGAGATTCTTAAGCATTCAAGTGGCCGAAGCCACTTCCAACAACCAGAGCAACAATTTTTATAGGTACATGGAACGTTCGGACAATATGGGAGACCGGGAAGACCAGTCATACAACAACGGAAATGAGGAGATATAACTTGACAGTACTCGGAATCAACGAAACCCATTGGACTCAAACTGAACAGCAAAGGCTAGATACGGGAGAGCTGCTGCCGTATCGTGGTTACAAAAAATAAAATACTCCGCACACTAAGGAAGTTGCTCTAATGCTATCCAAAGAAGCACGTAATACACTTACAGGATGGGAATCTCACAGATCGAGGATCATCAAAGCATCTTTCGAAACAAAGAAGGAGGGGATTACAATGAATGTTATCCAATGTTATGCACCCACCAATAGTAGAAACGACGACAATAAAGATCAGTTCTATGAAAGGCTGCAATCAATCATAGCGAAGTGCCCAAGAAACGATCTCACCATCCTGATAGGAGGCCTAAACGTGAAAGCTGAATGGAAAACATCGGATATGAAGATATCATGGGACAACATGGACTGACTGGGAGAAAGGAACGAAAATGGGGAGAGATTTGCAAATCTATGTGCATTCAACAAATTGATTATAAGCAGCACAATATTCCCACACGAACGCATACACAAAGCTACATGGGTCTCATCAGACTAAACCACGGAGAACCACATAGATCATATTCGCATCAATAAAAAAATTCAGAATTACAATGAAAGACATGAGAAACAGGAGAATAGCTGACATAGCTTCAGATCACCACCTAGTTATGGCCAACTTAAAACTGAAGCAAAAGAAAAACTGGACAACTGGACAAACAGCACTACAAAGGTTCAACTCAGACATCCTACGAGATACCGACAAACTCAACGAATTCAAGATAACTCTCAACAACAGGTTACAAACCTTACATGATCCACTGAAAGAAGAAGAAGCTATCATGGAGGACAACTGCAAAGCGATAAAAGAAGCACTTACACCAACGTGTCAGGAGGTGCTGAGCCGCAAGAAGCATTATCACAACGAAGTGATCTCTATCGAAACCGTGCACAAAATTCAAGAAAGTAACAACAAGAAGACAGCAATTAACAACAGCCGAACAGAAACAGAAAATCTCAAGGCACAAGTTGAATACACTGAAGCGAACAAGAAAGTGAAGAAGAGTGTTACAGCCACAAGCAGAAATACGTGGAAGAGCTAGCAAAGACAGTGGAAAAAGCTGAAACAGAAGGAAATGCGAAACACTTATATGACACAACGAAGAAACTTGCACGGAAATATTGTAAAGCAGAGTGACCAGTCAAGAGTGAAGAAGACACATCAATCACTGAGATTCAAGGACAGTGTAACAAGTGGATAGACAACTTTGGAGAACTCTTGAATAGGTCAACCCCACTGAACCCAACGAAAATCGAGGCACCACACACAAAAACAATTTTCTATATATGTCACTCCATCAACAACCGAAGAAATCAGTATGGCCATAGGACAAATGAAGATTGGCGAAGCAGTTGGACCTGACAATATACCAGCTGAAGATCTGAAGTCAGACATAGAAGTAACGGCAAGCATACTCCACGTTCTATTCAGGAAGGTTTGAGAGGAGGAACAAGTGACACTAACAAACTGGAGAGAAGGACAACTCATCAAGATACCAGAGAAAGGAGATCTGAACAAATGTGAAACTACATCGGTGTCACACTACTGTTAGTACCAGGAAAAGTATTCAACAGTGTTTCTGAACCGTAAGCATCGATCGTGCACAGACCAAATCGCGACACTATGGATCATTGTTGGGCAATCAACTGAATGGAACGCGTCACTATATATCATTATCTCTGACTATGAAAAAACGTTTGACAATGAGGATAGGAGAAGCTTAAGAACGTTCTTCGACACTATGGTATACATGAGAAGATTGTCAACATCATACGGGATTCGTACGATCGACTACATTGCAAAGTTGTGCATGGAGGACAGCTGACAGATGCATTGCAAGTGAGAACCGGATTCAGACAAGATTGCTTTCTCTCCACCTTCCTCTTTCCTTTGGTGATTGACTGAATTATGAAGACCTCCACATCTGAGGGAAAACACGGAATGCAATGGACATCTTACATGCGACTAGACGATTTGGACTTTGTAGATGACCTGGCCCTTCCATCCCATACACACCAACAAATCCAGATGAAGACAACTAGTGTATCAGTAGCCTCTGCATCAGTAGGCCTCAACATACACAAAGGAAAAGCAAGACCCTCAAGTACAATACAGAGAGCACCCACCCAAACACACTTGATGGAGGAACTACGGAAGATGTGATATCTTTCACATACCTGGGAAGCATCATCGATGAACATGGAGGATCAGAAGTAGATGTATGGGCGAAGTTTGGAGAAGCGATGGCCGCATTTCTACAACTCAAGAACATATGGGACTAAAAACAACTGTCAATCAATGTCAAGGTGAGAATCTTCAGTACGGACGACAAGACAGTCCTACTATACGGAGCTAAAACGTGGAGAACTACTACAACTATCAACAAAAAAGTACAAGTGTCTATAAACAGCTGACGCAAGATACTTACTATCAGTTGGCCGGATACCATCAGTAGCAGCCTAATGTTGGAGAGGAAAAACCGGGTTCTAACTGAAGAGGAAATTAGCAAAAGACGTTAGAAGTGGATAGGACATACATTACAGAACCACCAAACTGCGTC